GCGGGAGGTCCAGTGGGACAGAGAACTGGCAGGAAAGCCAGTAAATGAAATGATGGAATATGTAACAACAAAATGCAAGGAGGCAGTGGAAAGGTTTATTTCCAAGGGCAACAGTAACAATGGGAAGACCAGAACGAGCCCCTGGTTTACCCGACGGTGTAAGGAGGCAAAAACAAAGTGCAATAGAGAATGGAAAAAGTACAGAAGGCAGAGAACACACGAAAATAGGGAGATTAGTCGCAGAGCCAGGAATGAGTACGCACAGGTAAGGAGGGAGGCCCAACGACAGTATGAAAATGACATAGCATCGAGAATCAAGACTGACCCGAAACTGTTGTATAGCCACATCAGGAGGAAGACAACAGTCAAAGACCAGGTGATCAGATTAAGGACAGAAGGTGGAGAACTCACAAGAAATGATCAGGAGGTATGTGAGGAGCTGAACAGGAGATTTAAGGAAGTTTTTACAGTAGAGACAGGAAGGGCTGTGGGAAGACAGCACAGAAGGGAACATCAAGAGGGAATATACCAACAAGTGTTGGATGACATACGAACAACTGAGGAGGAGGTGAAGAAGCTCTTAAGTGACCTTGACACCTCAAAGGCGATGGGACCGGACAACATCTCCCCATGGGTCCTTAGAGAAGGAGCAGAGATGCTGTGTGTGCCTCTAACCACAATCTTCAACACATCCTTGAAACTGGGCAACTACCTGAGAAATGGAAGACAGCTAATGTAGTCCCCATATTTAAGAAAGGAAGCAGAAACGAGGCACTAAACTACAGACCTGTGTCTCTGACATGTATTGTGTGCAAAGTCATGGAGAAGATTATCAGGAGGAGAGTGGTCGAACACCTGGAAAGGAAACAAGATTATAAATGAAAACAGCATAGGTTCATGGAAGGCAAATCTTGTATCACAAACCTCCTGGAGTTTTATGACAAGGTAACAGAAGTAAGACACGAGAGAGAGGGGTGGGTAGATTGCGTTTTCCTAGACTGCAGGAAGGCCTTTGACACAGTTCCCCACAAGAGATTAGTGCAGAAGCTGGAGGATCAGGCGCACGTAAAGGGAGGGCACTGCAATGGATAAGAGAATACCTGACAGGGAGGCAGCAACAAGTCATGGTACGTGAAGAGGTATCACAGTGGGCGCCTGTTACGAGCGGGGGTCCCACAGGGGTCAGTTCTAGGACCAGTGCTATTTTTGATATATGTGAACGACATGATGGAAGGAATAGACTCTGAAGTGTCCCTGTTCGCAGATGATGTGAAGTTGATGAGAAGAATTAAATCGGACGAGGATGAGGCAGGACTGCAAAGAGACCTGGACAGGCTGGACATGTGGTCCAGCAACTGGCTTCTCGAATTCAATCCAGCCAAATGCAAAGTCATGAAGATTGGGAGGGGCAAAGAAGACCGCAGGACAGAGTATAGCTAGGTGGACAAAGACTACAGACCTCACTCAGGGAGAAAGACCTTGGGGTGACCATAAACACCGAGCACATCACCGGAGGCACACATCAACCAAATAACCGCTGCAGCATGTGGGCGCCTGGCAAACCTGAGAATAGCGTTCCGATACCTTAATAAGGAATGTTCAAGACACTGTACACTGTGTATGTTAGGCCCATACTGGAGTATGCAGCACCAGTCTGGAACCCACACCTGGTCAAGCACGTCAAGAAGTTAGAGAAAGTACAAAGGTTTGCAGCAAGGCTGTCCCAGAGCTCAAGGGGAATGTCGTACAAGGAAAGGTTAAGGGAAATCGGACTGACGACACTGGAGGACAGAAGGGTCAGGGGAGACTGATAACGACATACAAGATACTGCGGGGAATTGACAAGGTGGACAGAGATAGGATGTTCCAGAGAGGGGACACAGGGACAAGGGGTCACGCTGGAAAATTGAAGTCCAGACGAGTCCGGGGCGTTAGGGAAAAATTTCTTCGTCATAGAGTTGTAGCAAAATTGGGAAAAGGTAGCAAGTGAAGGGAAAATTGGGGGCAGGAAAACCCTCATATTTAAGAAGAGGTTAAAGGACAAAGCTTTAGGAAAAAGAGAGAGGAGGATCCAGTAGGTAGGTGGAAGGGCGGGCCGGAGCTGAGTTTTCCCACCCCTGCAAAACCCCAATTTGGTGGTACCAACAAACAACACACCCAACCCCCCCACCCCCCCACACAAAACACACACACACACACCACCACAGGAGCTCGGACTTGACCCCGCCCAAACCCCAAATAGGTGAGGACACACACACACACCAAAACACACACAAAACACAACACACCACATATGTATATCAACATATAAGGCAAAAAAGAAATTTAAATTAAAAATTTTTTTCTTCCCCTAATCCAAACTTTACCTTTCATGTATGGGGCTAATAAAAACACCCCAAACAGGTTAAACCCAAAAAACCAGTTATTTGCTCCATAGGGTCAGTTTCGTTAAAAAATTTCCCAAAAAGGCTTGTTGAAATTTTGAGCCCTATTGTTGGTTTAAAAAAATTTATACTTTAATGTTAAAAACAACTTGATTTAGTTGATAAAAATTTAAACTTTTTTGACTTTCTTAAATGATTTTTAAAATGGTTAGTTTTTTATGTTTAAACCCCCTTGTTTATGAAAGTTTCCCGTTGTTTTTTTATTAAGTTTCTTAAACTGAAAAAATCGTTAAATTATGATTTACCTTGCCCGTTCCCACCATCATTAAACTTTTCTAAACTTTGCATTGGTTATGCAAAATTTTTATTTAATTTATAAAAACCCTTTGGTTTTGGCAAAATGGAAAACCTCTTTCACCTGTTTTTAGTAATTTTAAAACATGGAATTTTTTGAAAAAGAAATGCTTAAAAACAATTTCCCTAAAAGAGAAAAGGTTTTGATTTTGGCGATGATATTTTTTGTTTATGGCCCCCAAAAAATGTTGTTTTTCACCCTTTCCCCTTTGGGAAATTTTAAAAGCTTGCCCCTTTATAAACTTTTTTCTGTTTTAGTTTGAGGAAAAAAAACTATTGCTTTTTTAGAGTTTTTTTTTATTAAGAGTAAAAATGAATTCAAATTTAAAATTTACAGGGAAAAACCCACAAAAAATGTTCCTAAAGGCCCACTTTTTATTTTCATCAAGATTAAAATTAAACTGTCGGGTTTTTTCATCAATGTTTTTGAGAGCTTTAGTATTTTTAGTCCAGAGTTTTTGAAGAAAAAATCCAAAATTTATGAAATAGCCAATGTTTTGAAATGCCCGAAAAATGTAATTGATAAATCATTTAAAATTGCTAGAAATACTTTTTACAACCCAAAAAGGGACAACCAACCTTATTCAACTAAAAATATGTTGGTTCTCCCTTACCATGAAAACTTGGTTGATATGCCTTCTCTTCTTAAGAATTTTAATATTAAAGTTGTATTTAAAAATTTTGATACAGTAAAAAAACTTTTGATAAAGAATTCCCCCCAAAATGCTGACGGATGTGTGTATAAGATTCCTTGTAAAATTTGCGATAAAGTTTATTACGGTCAAACTGGTAAAAGTCTCGAACTTTGATTAAAACAACATAAATATAGCATTAGAACTGGACAAGATTCCAATGCTCTATTTATTCATGTGAGAGACTTTAACCATCCAGTTGATTTTCAAAAAGTTGAGAAAGTTGTATCAAGCAAGTCCATGGTTGACAGAAATATAATTGAATCTTGTTTCATAAAAAGCAGTTTTGAAAATACTGTAATATGAATATTTCCTTAGGTTTGTTTAAATTAGATTCATTTATAATTAATAAAATTTGGTTAGAGTGTAATAATACATTGGACAAATAATAAACCTTATTTCTTGGGTAGAATGATTTGTTGGTGGGTTGTCGTGAGGACCTGTCTAGTTGGACCAGCGAACCTACTGCAGTGTTCCTCTTTTCTTATGAGTCCAGCATTGTCCCGCGTCAGGTGTTTCTTTGTTGTGGGAGTTGACTGTGAGGTGCAGTCTAAGCCCTTTAATTGCCTTCCTTTGATGTATTACTTTCATAGTTCCTTGACAATGTGAGTAGTCACGAAAGCGCTTGGAATTTCACTACTCTTTTACAGTGGTTGTTTTGCATATTTTAAAATCACCTGTTTACTGTGATCTTATTGCATATATACATATATATACACAAACAATTGCAGACAAGCAATCTTAACTATGCAAGACAAGCCATGGGGGAGGGTGGAAATCTTTAGCTGAAGTACTTTCACACTTCTCAGTGTGTCATCAGGAGCTATGCAATGTTGCAAGGCTGCAACTGAAGGAGTGAGGGGAAGTTTTCTCAGAATAGCACAGTGCAGGTCTATCACCTGCTGCTGGCTCTCTCAGAATGTGGGCCAGTGCTCAGTGTCACACCCATCACTACCACTGCCTCTATCCTCCCATATGGGGCAAGAGGGTTTTGAGAAGTCAGGTATTATGAAATTAGAAGATATAATAGTCCAACCCCCCCAAGCTTTTTCTAACCGTTTAGAACAGGTCTATGACTTGAGAAAATACATTTCTTAGTGGATATTATATATATGGATTGCTATTATTCTGTGTAACCATTTTAATTAATAAAAGAATGGAAATGAATGTGCTCTTTGTCCATTTAAATGTCCTGTTCTTGGGTACTCGAATGTTCTCAGGGGTACTGAGAACATTCAAGTACCTCAGAATGGGGATGTTGTGGTTTGGATGGTCATCTGAACTGTGATGTCGGTGCCCTTCTGGCAAGACAGTGATTGAATGAGTGACAGTGTTTTCTCCTTCGTTTGGTCACTTTACCTTGGTGGGAGATGGTTGGATTGTTAAAAAAAAAGCAGTCTGATTATGAAATTGTTAAAAATAACAACAAACAAGTAAACAGTAACATGTTAATAATAATGTCAAGAACTTTTTGTGTTTAAAGTACTAAAACCAATGAGATCTAGTGCTTTTAACATCATACAAATCAATCGACTGCTTTAATATTTATATCTTTCGTTCTTTCTTAAAGTGTTCCAAGTGTTACCGAGCATTTTCTGTCAAGTCGACACTGGTGGCTCACATGAAGACTCACTTGGCTGTGAAGGAGCATACGTGTAAACAGTGCAACAAGAAATTTGCTACAACTACCTCTCTCAGAGTCCATTCATGGTATGCAATCTCTGTCTTGCACTTATCTTATTTAAGACACTGCAGAATGGATAAACATTTTATTTGACTAAAAAATAATCAGCACTTCATCAGTTATCTCTTTCTCATGTTTTGTTAAATGATTCATTATGTACTTTCATAAATTTTTACATTTTGTTTTAGATTTTTATCACTAAATTTCTGATGCAATTGGCATTTTGTATTTTATATTTGCCTGTGTTCATGCTTTCTGGGTTACACAGCAGTACCTTCTAATGTTTCATGATATGATGATCTATTTTAGGCTTGAAATACCAGTTACACCCTTACTAAATGAATATACAGTATACTGTATGTTAAATTCAGTATTCTAGATAAGTTGTTGCAAACTAAATTTAATTTATTTTTTCCTAACAAACTGCTTCCTCTCTTCTATTTGCCATTTTATGTATTGTTTGCTTGAAAACAAATTTTCATATGCAAACCATATTTATTGCTTAATGAAGTTAAATATTTTATGAGAGTGTGAAGTATTGGTTTTTATATAGTGTAATGAGGAGGCTGGAGTTAGTGGAGATGGTCTGGTTGAGGGTAATGTGCAGTGTGAATATTATGCAGATAGTTGAGAACTTGGAGATTAGAAGGTATGGGGTTTCCATGAATATAATTCACAGGGCTGGAAGAGGGTTGTTGAAGTGGTTTGGACATTTAGAGAGGTTGGAGGGGTTTACAGATTTGTGGTAGAGGGAAGGAGAGGTAGAGTTCATCCCAGGAAGGATTAGAGAGAAGGGGTAAAGAAGGTTTATAGTGCTAGGGGCTTGAACATCCAATATACTTGTATGAGCAGGTTAGATTGGAATACCCAGTAAATGGAGGCAAGTGGTTTTCATGCCTCGACATGCTGGAGTGTGAACAGTGCAATGTTTATGAAAGGATTCAGGGAACTGGTTATCAGGATTTGATTCCTGAAGGTGGGAAGTGCAGTTCGTGTACTCTTTATAAAGGAATTCAGAGGGCCATCTGAACTGTGACTTTAGAATGCTTCTGACAAGTCAACAATTGATGAATGATGGTGATTGCATTTCAGCTTTTTGGGGGGATGATATGCCCAGTGTGGTAAAAAATTTAGCTAAACCATTGTGGTTTATTTGTGATAATTGTGATAATTAGTTATGACAGGAAAAGAGGGACTATAAATGTATTAATTCAAGGATTATGTGGAGTAAAATAAAGGTTGGATGTGAAAAGTGGGTTATAGTAAGCATATATGCACCTGGAGAAGAGAGAAGTGTAGAGGAGAGAGATTTGGGGAAATGTTGAGTGAATGCGTGGGGAGTTTTGAACCAAGTGTGAGAGTAATGGTGGCTGGGGATTTCAGTGCTAAAGTGGGAAAAAATGTTGTGGAGGGAGTAGTAGGTAAATTTGGGGTGCCAGGGGTAAATGAAAATGGGGAGCCTTTAATTGAGCTATGTGTAGAAAGAGGTTTGGTAATAAGTAATACATATTTTATGAAGAAGAGGATAAATAAATATACAAGGTATGATATAGCACGTAATCAAAGTAGTTTGTTAGATTATGTATTGGTGGATAAAAGGTTGATGGGTAGGCTCCAGGATGTACACGTTTATAAAGGAGCAACTGATATATTGGATCATTATTTAGTTGTAGCTACAGTTAGAGTAAGAGGTAGATGGGAAAAGAGGAAAATGGCAACAACAAGCAAGAGGGAGGTGAAAGTGTATAAACTAAGGGAGGAGGAAGTTCGGGTGAGATATAAGCAACTATTGGCAGAAAGGTGGGCTGGTGCAAGTATGAGTAGTGGGGGGGGATTGAAGAGGGTTGGAATAGTTTTAAAAATGCAGTAATAGAATGTGGGGCAGAAGTTTGTGGTTATAGGAGGGTGGGTGTAGGAGGAAAGAGGAGTAATTGGTGGAATGATGAAGTAAAGGGTGTGATAAAAGAGAAAAAGTTAGCTTATGAGAGGTTTCTATAAAGCAGAAGTGTTATAAGAAGAGTAGAGTATTTTTTTTTTTTTTTTATCACACTGGCCGATTCCCACCAAGGCAGGGTGGCCCGAAAAAGAAAAACTTTCACCATCATTCACTCCATCAGTCTTGCCAGAAGGGTGCTTTACACTACAGTTTTTAAACTGCAACATTAACACCCCTCCTTCAGAGTGCAGGCACTGTACTTCCCATCTCCAGGACTCAAGTCCGGCCTGCCGGTTTCCCTGAACCCCTTCATAAATGTTACTTTGCTCACACTCCAACAGCACGTCAAGTATTAAAAACCATTTGTCTCCATTCACCCCTATCAAACACGCTCACGCAGGGCCTGCTGGAAGCCCAAAGCCCCTCGCACACAAAACCTCCTTTACCCCCTCCCTCCAACCTTTCCTAGGCCGACCCCTACCCCGCCTTCCTTCCACTACAGACTGATACACTCTTGAAGTCACTCTGTTTCGCCCATTCTCTTACATGTCTGAACTACCTCAACAACCCTTCTTCAGCCCTCTGGACAACAGTTTTGGTAATCCCGCACCTCCTCCTAACTTCCAAACTACGAATTCTCTGCATTACATTCACACACCACACATTGCCCTCAGACATGACATCTCCACTGCCTCCAGCCTTCTCCTCGCTGCAACATTCATCACCCATGCTTCACACCCATATAAGAGCGTTGGTAAAACTATACTCTCATACATTCCCCTCTTTGCCTCCAAGGACAAAGTTCTTTGTCTCCACAGACTCCTAAGTGCACCGCTCACCCTTTTTCCCCTCATCAATTCTATGATTCACCTCATCTTTCATAGACCCATCCGCTGACACGTCCACTCCCAAATATCTGAATACATTCACCTCCTCCATACTCTCTCCCTCCAATCTGATATCCAATCTTTCATCACCTAATCTTTTTATCCTCATAACCTTACTCTTTCCTGTATTCACTTTTAATTTTCTTCTTTTGCACACCCTACCAAATTCATCCACCAATCTCTGCAACTTCTCTTCAGAATCTCCCAAGAGCACAGTGTCATCAGCAAAGAGCAACTGTGACAACTCCCACTTTATGTGTGATTATCTTTTAACTCCACACCTCTTGCCAAGACCCTTGCATTTACTTCTCTTACAACCCCATCTATAAATATATTAAACAACCACGGTGACATCACACATCCTTGTCTAAGGCCTACTTTTACTGGGAAATAATTTCCCTCTTTCCTACATACTCTAACTTGAGCCTCACTATCCTCATAAAAACTCTTCACTGCTTTCAGTAACCTACCTCCTACACCATACACCTGCAACATCTGCCACATTGCCCCCCTATCCACCCTGTCATACGCTTTTTCCAAATCCATAAATGCCACAAAGACCTCTTTAGCCTTATCTAAATACTGTTCACTTATATGTTTCACTGTAAACACCTGGTCCACAACACCCCCTACCTTTCCTAAAGCCTCCTATTCATCTGCTATGCTATTCTCCGTCTTACTCTTAATTCTTTCAATAATAACTCTACCATACACTTTACCAGGTATACTCAACAGACTTATCCCCCTATAATTTTTGCACTCTCTTTTGTCCCCTTTGCCTTTATACAAAGGAACTATGCATGCTCTCTGCCAATCCCTAGGTACCTTACCCTCATCCATACATTTATTAAATAATTGCACCAACCACTCCAAAACTATATCCCCACCTGCTTTTAACATTTCTATCTTTATCCCATCAATCCCAGCTGCCTTACCACCTTTCATTTTACCTACTGCCTCACGAACTTCCCCCACACTCACAACTGACTCTTCCTCACTTCTACAAGATGTTATTCCTCCTTGCCCTATACACGAAATCACAGCTTCCCTATCTTCATCGAGTATATGGAGAGTAAAAGAAAGGTAAAGAGAGTGGTGAGAGAGTGCAAAAGGAGAGCAGATGATAGCGTGGGAGAGGCACTGTCAAGGAATTTTAATGAAAATAAGAAAAAAAATTGGAGTGAGTTAAACAAGTTAAGAAAGCCTAGAGAACCAATGGATTTGTCAGTTAAAAACAGAGTAGGGGAGTTAGTAGATGGGGAGATGGAGGTTTTGGGTAGATGGCGAGAATATTTTGAGGAACTTTTAAATGTCGACGAAGAAAGGGAAGCAGTAATTTCATCCCACTGGCCAGCGAGGTATACCATCTTTTAGGAGTGAAGAAGAACAGGATGTGAGTGTGGGGGAGGTGTGGAGGCATTATGTAGAATGAAAGGGGTAAAGCAGCGGGAAAACTGACAGGATCTGACAGAAATGTTAAAAGCAGGGGGGGGGGGGATATAGTGTTGGAGTGGTTGGTATTTTTTTTTTAATAAATGAAATGAAAGAGGGGAAGGTATGTAGGGATTGGCAGAAAGCATGTATAGTCCCTTTATATAAAGGGAAGGGGGACAAAACAGATTGCAAAAATTATAGAGGAATAAGTTTACTGAGTATACCAGGAAAAATGTAGGGTTATAATTGAAAGAATTAGAAGTAAGACAGAATGTAGGATTGCAGATGAGCAAGGAGGTTTCAGAGTGGGTAGGGGATGTGTAGATCAAGTGTTTATATTGAAGCATATATGTGAACAGTATTTAGATAAAGGTAGGGAAGTTTTTATTGCATTTATGGATTTAGAAAAGGCATATGATAGAGTGGATAGGGAAGCAATGTGGCAGATGTTGCAAGTTTATGGAATAGGTGGTAAGTTACTAAATGCTGTAAAGAGCTTTTATGAGGATAGTGAGGCTCAGGTTAGGGTGTGTAGAAGAGGGGGGAGAATACTTCCCGGTAAAAGTAGGTCTTAGACAGGGATGTGTAATGTCACCATGGTTGTTTAATATATTTATAGATGGGGTTGTAAAAAAAGTAAATGCAAGGGTGTTTGGGAGAGGAGTAGGATTAAATTATGGGGAATCAAAATTCAAAAAGGGAATTGACACAGTTACTTTTTGCTGATGATACTGTGCTTATGGAGGATTCTAAAGAAAAATTGCAAAGGTTAGTGATGAGTTTGAGATGTGTGTAAAGGTAGAAAGTTGAAAGTGAACATAGAAAAGAGTAAGGTTATGAGGTATCAAATGATTTAGATAAAGAAAAATTGGATATCAAATTGGGGAGGAGGAGTATGGAAGAAGTGAATGTTTCAGATACTTGGGAGTTGACGTGTCGGCGGATGGATTTATGAAGGATGAGGTTAATCATAGAATTGATGAGGGAAAAAAGGTGAGTGGTGCGTTGAGGTATATGTGGAGTCAAAAAACGTTATCTATGGAGGCAAAGAAGGGAATGTATGAAAGTATAGTAGTACCAACACTCTTATATGGATGTGAAGCTTGGGTGGTAAATGCAGCAGCGAGGAGACGGTTGGAGCAGTGGAGATGTCCTGTCTAAGGGCAATGTGTGGTGTAAATATTATGCAGAAAATTCGGAGTGTGGAAATTAGGAGAAGGTGTGGAGTTAATAAAAGCATTAGTCAGAGGGCAGAAGAGGGTTGTTGAGGTGGTTTGGTCATTTAGAGAGAATGGATCAAAGTAGAATGACATGGAAAGCATATAAATCTATAGGGAAGGAAAGAGGGGTAGGGGTCGTCCTCGAAAGGGTTGGAAAGGGGGGTAAAGGAGGTTTTGTGGGCGAGGGGCCTTGGACTTCCAGCAAGCGTGCATGAGCGTGTTAGATAGGAGTGAATGGAGACGAATGATACTTGGGACCTGACGATCTGTTGGAGTGTGAGCAGGGTTATATTTAGTGAAGGGAATCACGGAACCGGTTATTTTCATATAGTCGGACTTGAGTCCTGGAAATGGGAAGTACAATGCCTGCACTTTAAAGGAGTGGTTTGGGATATTGGCAGTTTGGAGGGATATGTTGTGTATCTTTATACGTATATGCTTCTAAACTGTTGTATTCTGGGCACCTCTGCAAAAGCAGTGATAATGTGTGAGTGTGGTGAAAGTGTTGAATGATGATGAAAGTATTTTCTTTTTGGGGATTTTCTTTCTTTTTTTTTTTGGGTCACCCTGCCTTGGTGGGAGACGACCAACTTGTTGAAAAAAAAAAAAATTCAGGGAAACTGGTTATTTTTGTATAGCCAGACTTGAGTCCTGGAAATGGGAAGTACAATGCCTGCACTCTAAAGGAGGGGTTCAGGATATTAGCAGTTTAGAGGGATATGTTGTGTATCTTTATATGTATATGCTTCTAAACTGTTGTGTTCTGAGCACCTCTGCAAAAACATTGATTATGTGTGAGTGAGGTGAAAGTGTTGAATGATGAAAGTATTTTCTTTTTGGGGATGTTCTTTCGTTTTGGGTCACCCTGCCTCGGTGGAAGTTGGCCGACTTGTTAAAAAAAAAAAAAAATTCTTCTTGAGAACACTCTGAAATTCAACTCCAAGGCAGTCAGTGAAAACATTGTGAACAATTGAAAAATCAGCTCTGCACTATAAAAAACTTTTTACTCGCATTTAAACATCACCAAATCATTCTGATTATATTGGTATTTCTTGAAAGGTTTGCCTCTGAACTTGCAGCATAGTTTTTTGTTGTTATAGTTTAGATTTCTGCTACAATAAGAAATTAGTCCCCCACCAAGGTAGGGTGACCCAGAAAAAGATAAAACTCTTTCACCATCATTCACTCTTATCACTGTCTTTCCAGAGGTGCACTGATACTACAACTCAGATGCCCCTCCAGACTGCAAATATTCCCACCCCTCTTTCAGAATGCAGGCACTGCACCTTCCACCTCTAGGACTCAAGTCCAGCTAACTGGTTTTACTGATTCCCTTCACAAATGTTACCTTGTTCACACACTAACAGCTCACAAGGTCCCAAAAACATTTGCTATCACCCCTAACTAGCACATTCACATGTATCTTCTGGATGTCCAAGCTTCTTGCACACAAAATCTTCTTTACCCCCCTCCCCAACCTTTCCTAGGATGACTCCTACCCACTTTGTCATTTTGGATATGTACACTGTAATGCCATACAATTTTTGTGTTTGATGAATGTTTCTCACAATAGATGTTAGTATTTATGCTGAATTTGATTCATATTTTTTAACAGGGTACACACTGGTCAGAAGCCCTATTCATGCTCACGGTGCCAGAAAGTTTTCCGCACAGTATCACATCGAAAGGCACATATGTTGTCTCACTTGCACTCTTCTCATCGTCAATCTATGCGGAAAAAGTCCATACCTCTGCCAGACATCCCTCTTCAAGAGCCTATCCTTATTACTACTGAAGGTTAGTCTCATTATTCATGTATACAAAGAGTATTTGGAAGCAATGTTTTTATGTTTTTAATATGTAAATTAGGCATATATCTAGGCAAATTCTTTTCTCTCTCTTGTGTTGTTAATAAGGGGTTATATAAATTTACAGTTACTTCATATGTTTTTTGTTTATTTTCTGTCTTTCTGTTGCTTTCTGTTTTGGATTTTTATATAGCCGGACTTGAGTCCTGGAAATAGGAAGTGCAATGCCCGCACTTTAAAGGAGGGGTTTGGGATATTGGCAATTTGGAGGGATATGTTGTGTATATTTATACACAGTATAAATATACAGCAACCACCCAGGGGGGTACAACTGTCCTGCCAAGTGAGTGTGAAACGAAAGCCTGTAATTGTTTTACTTGATGGTAGGATTGCTGGTGTCTTTTGTCTTTCTCATAAATATGCAAGATTACAGGTACGTCTTGCTACTTCTACTTACACTTAGGTCACACTACACATACATGTACATGTTTATTTATACACGCTCATCTGAGTTTTCTTTTATTTTATCTTAATAGTTCATGGTCTTATTACTTTTCCTTTTATATCCATGGGGAAGTGGAATAAGAATCTTTCCTCTGTAAGCCATGTGTGTTGTAAAAGTCAACTAAAATGACGGGAACAATGGGCTAGTAACCCCTTTTCCTGTAATAATTACTAAAAAGAATAAGAAGAAAATTGTCAAAGTGGGAAGTCTGAATGTGCGTGGATGTTGTGCAATTGATAAGACAGAGATGATTGTGGATGTTATGAATGAGAAGAAGCTGGATGTCCTGGCTTTAAGTGAAACAAAGCTGAAGGGGGTGGGAGAGTTTCAGTGGAGAGGAATAAATGGGATTAGGTCAGGGGTTTCAAATAGAGTTAGAGCTAAAGAAGGAGTAGCAATAATGTTGAAGGATAAGTTATGGCAGGAAAAGAGGGACTATAAATATATAAATTCAAGGATTATGTGGAGTAAAATAAAGGTTGGATATGAAAAGTGGGTTATAATAAGCATATATGCACCTGGAGAAGAGAGAAGTGTAGAGTAGAAAGAGAGATTTTGGGAAATGTTGAGTGAATGCATGGGGAGTTTTGAACCAAGTGTGAGAGTAATGGTGGTTGGGGATTTCAATGCTAAAGTGGGCAAAAATGTTGTGGAGGGAGTAGTAGGTAAATTTGGGGTGCCAGGGGTAAATGAAAATGGTGAGCCTTTAATTTAGCTGTGTGTAGAAAGAGGTTTGGTAATAATACATATTTTATGAAGAAGAAGATAAATATACAAGGTATGATATAGCACGTAATCAAAGTAGTTTGTTAGATTATGTATTGGTGGATAAAAGGTTGATGGGTAGGCTCCAGGATGTACACGTTTATAGAGGGGCAACTGATATATCGGATCATTATTTAGTTGTAGCTACAGTTAGAGTAAGAGGTAGATGAGAAAAGAGGAAAATGGCAACAACAAGCAAGAGTGAGGTGAAAGTGTATAAACTAAGGGAGGAGGAAGTTCAGGTGAGATATAAGCAATTATTGGCAGAAAAGTGGGCTGGTGCAAGTATGAGTAGTGGGGGGGTTGAAGAGGGTTGGAATAGTTTTAAAAATGCAGTATTAGAATGTGGGGCAGAAATTTGTGGTTATAGGAGGGTGGGTGCAGGAGGAAAGAGGAGTGATTGGTGGAATGATGAAGTAAAGGGTGTGATAAAAGAGAAAAAGTTAGCTTATGAGAGGTTTTTGCAAAGCAGAAGTGTTATAAGAAGAGTAGAGTACAGTGGACCCCCGCAGAACACTATTAATCCGTTCCTGAGAGCTCAATGTTATGCGAATTAATTTTCCCCATAAGAAATAATGGAAATCAAATTAATCCGTGCAAGACACCCAAAAGTATGAACAAAAAAAATTTACCACATGAAATATTAATTTTAATACACACAAACTTAAGAAAACATGCACAGTTACATGACACTTACCTTTATTGAAGATATGGTGATGATTGATGGGATGGGAGGAGGGGAGACTGGATGGTTTTAGTGTTTAGAAGGGGAATCCCCTTCCATTAGGACTTGAGGTGTCAAGTCCTTTTCCAGGGTTGCTTCCCTTCTTCTTTTAATGCCACTAGGGCCAGCTTCAGAGTCACTGGACTTCTGTCGCACAACATATCTGTCCATAGTGGCCTGTACCTCTCGTTCCTTTTTGACTTTCCTAAAGTGTTTCACAACAGTGTCAGTGTAATAGTCACCAGCATGGCTTGTAATAGCTGTCTGAGGGTGATTTTCATCCATGAAGGTTTGCACTTCAAGCCACTGCACAGATTTCCTTAATCTTTGAAGTAGGCAACTTCTTCAATTTCTCTCTCCCTTCCTCCGAAGCAATTTCCTCAGGTGTGGCCTCTTGCTGTTGAAGTTGATCTAGCAGCTCATTAGTGGTTAGTTCTTCATTGTCCTCCTCCACCAACTCTTCCACATCCTCCCCACTAACCTCCAACCCCAAGGACTTCCCCAATGCCACAATTGATTCCTCAACTGGCATAGGATTCTCAGGGTTAGCCTCAAATTCCTCAGAATACCTTTGGTCTATACATTCTGGCCACAGTTTCTTCCAAGCAGAGTTCAAGGTCCTCTTAGTTACTCCCTCCCAAGCCTTACCTATAAGGTTTACACAATTGAGGATATTAAAGTGCTCTCTCCAAAACTCTCTTAGAGTCAATTGAGTTTCTGAGGTCACTACAAAGCACCTTTCAAACAGAGCTTTTGTGTACAGTTTTTTGAAGTTTGCAATAACCTGCTGGTCCATGGGCTGCAGGAGAGGAGTGGTATTAGGAGGCAAAAACTTCACCTTAATGAAGCTCATGTCCCCATAAAGTCGCTCTGCCAAGTCTGTAGGATGACCAGGGACATTGTCTAACACCAGGAGGCACTTAAGGTCTAATTTCTTTTCAGTTAGGTAATTTTTCACATTGGGGGCAAATGCTTGGTGTAACCAGTCATAGAAAAAGTCCCTAGTGACCCATGCCTTATTGTTTGCCCTCCACAGCACACACAAATTAGCCTTGAGGATATTCTTTTGCCTGAACGCTCTGGGAGTTTCAGAGTGATACACTAATAAAGGCTTCACTTTGCAATCACCTCTAGCATTGGCACACATGAGAAGAGTAAGCCTGTCTTTCATAGGTTTATGTCCTGGGAGTGCCTTTTCCTCCTGAGTAATGTAGGTCCTGCTTGGCATTTTCTTCCAAAACAGGCCTGTTTTGTCACAATTAAACAATTGTTCAGGTTTCAGTCCTTCACTGTCTATGTACTCCTTGAATTCATGCACATATTTTTCAGCTGCTTTTTGGTCTGAACTGGCAGCCTCACCATGCCTTATCACACTATGTATGCTACTACACCTCTTAAATCTCTCAAACCAACCTTTGCTGGCCTTAAATTCACTAGCATCACCACTAGTTGCAGGCATTTTTCTAATTAAATCCTCGTGCAACTTCCTAGCCTTTTCATTTATGATCGCTTGAGAGATGCTATCGCCTGCTATCTGTTTTTCGTTTATCCACACCAATAACAGTCTCTCAACATCTTCTATCACTTGCGATCTCTGTTTCGAAAGCACAGTTAAACCCTTGGCAAGAACAGCTTCCTTGATTGCCGTTCTCTTGGACACAATAGAAGCGATGGTTGATTGGGGTTTACCATACAACCTGGCCAGCTCAGAGACACGCACTCCACTTTCATACTTAGCAATGATCTCTTTCTTCACCTCCATAGTAATTCTCACCCTTATTCCTGTAGGGTTGGCACTAGAAGCTTTCTTGGGGCCCATGGTCACTTATTTTTCAGGTGAAATCACTATAAAAAGGCTGTAATAATACGAAATGTTCCGATTGTATGCTTGAATGTTACCGCGGAGGCTGGCTTGTAAACAATGCCACTGGCAGAACAAGTGAGGCTGGCTCAGGCCGCATGGACGTGTCTCGGACGAATCGCGTTGAGTGAATTTTTTAGCACTATGCGAGGCAAAATTTTAGCGATAAAATGTATCGCTATGCGGATTTTACACTATGCGATGCCAACGTTATGCGGGGGTCCACTGTATATGGAGAGTAAAAGAAAGGTAAAGAGAGTGGTGAGAGAGTGCAAAAGGAGTGCAGATGATGCAGTGGGAGAGGCACTGTCAAGAAATTTTAATGAAAATAAGAAAAAATTTTGGAGTGAGTTAAACAAGTTAAGAAAGTCTAGAGAACGAATGGATTTGTCAGTTAAAAACAGAGTAGGGGAGTTAGTAGATAGGGAGATGGACGTTTTGAGTAGGTGGCGAGAATATTTTGAGGAACTTTTAAATGTCGACGAAGAAAGGGAAGCGGTAATTTCATGCACTGGCCAGGGAGGTATACCATCTTTTAGGAGTAAAGAAGAACAGGATGTGAGTGTGGGGAAGTGTGTGAGGCATTACGTAGAATGAAAGGGGGTAAAGCAGCTGGAACTGACGGGATCATGACAGAAATGTTAAAAGCGGGGGGGGGGGGGGGGATATAGTGTTGGAGTGGTTGGTATTTTTGTTTAATAAATGTATGAAAGAGGGGAAGGAACCTAGGGATTGGCAGGGAGCATGTATAGTCCCTTTATATAAAGGGAAGGGGGACAAAAGAGATTGTAAAAATTATAGAGGAAAAAGTTTACTGAGTATACCAGGAAAAGTGTATGGTAGGGTTATGATTGAAAGAATTAGAGGTAAGACAGAATGTAGGATTGTGGATGAGCAAGGAGGTTTCAGAGTGGGTAGGTGATGTGTAGATCAAGTATTTACATTGAAGCATATACAGTGGACCCCCGGTTAACGATATTTTTTCACTCCAGAAGTATGTTCAGGTGCCAGTACTGACCGAATTTGTTCCCATAAGGAATATTGTGAAGTAGATTAGTCCATTTCAGACCCCCAAACATACATGTACAAACGCACTTACATAAATACACTTACATAATTGGTCGCATTCGGAGGTGATCGTTATGCGGGGGTCCACTGTATTTGTGAACAGTATTTAGATAAAGGTAGGGAAGTTTTTATTACATTTATGGATTTAGAAAAGGCATATGAGAGTGGATAGGGGAGCAATGTGGCAGATGTTGCAAGTATATGGAATAGGTGGTAAGTTACTAAATGCTGAGGGTGTGTAGAAGAGAGGGAGACTACTTCCCGGTAAAAGTAGGTCTTAGACAGGGATGTGTAATGTCACCATGGTTGTTTCATATATTTATAGATGGGGTTGTAAAAGAAGTAAATGCTAGGGTGTTCGGGAGAGAGGTGGGATTAAATTATGAGGAATCAAATATAAAATGGGAATTGACATAGTTGCTTTTTGCTGATGATACTGTGCTTATGGGAGTTTCTAAAGAAAAATTGCAAAGGTTAGTGGATGAGTTTGGGAGTATATGTAAAAGTAGAAAGTTGAAAGTGAGCATAGAAAAGAGTAAGGTGATGAGGGTATCAAATGATTTAGATAAAGAAAAATTGGATATCAAATTGGGGAGGAGTAGCATGGAAGAAGTGAATGTTTTCAGATACTTGGGAGTTGACGTGTCAGCCAATGGATTTATGAAGGATGAGGTTAATCATAGAATTGATGAGGGAAAAAAGGTGATTGGTGCATTGAGGTATATGTGGCGACAAAAAACATTATCTAATAGAGTAAAGATTCAGCCAGCGAGTGGAACAATCAACGACTCAACTAAGCTAGCACTTGCATCTGTCGTTAGTGGCAGACTGCATGTTAAGTGCAATGTGATTCTGTCACTCAAAGAAGCCTTCATCGTCATCTGTACTGACGACACCGAAGCCGAGAAACTACTCACCACTACTGCTGTCTCCACGCTACAAGATCATGGATTCTCTGTTTTGAATTCCCCAGCACTGAGGGCCAGAAGAACTGTGTTCCTCAGGAGACTCGACAGACTCATCACTACACAAACTACTGAAGAGATCAAGTTGTCCATTGAAGCACATAATTCCTGGGCCAAGGTGGAATTTCTTACCAAGATACCCAACGCCTCCTCCATGCTGAAGGTCACCTTCAGTGACGTCAACATGGCAGCCAGAGCCCTCGCTGAGGGCCTGGCTATACACTACTTCCATATCAACCCAGCCTTCATTGAAGCAGAGAAATACCAACAAATCCCACAGTGCTATAACTGTTACTCATACCAGCATATCACCAAAAACTGCCCTGACAAAGACAAGAAGTACTGCTCCACCTGTGGCCTTGAGGGCCACGACTTCAAGAATTGCACTACTGCTTCCCCACCGCAATGCTTGAACTGCAAGGATGACCATCATACTCTTGCTGCCAGGTGCCCTGTCAGAAGGGACATACTCAAGAAACAACAGCTACAACAGAAGCCAAAACCACAAGCATTCACATATTCTGCTATTGCCAAGATTCAAGCAGACACTACCAAGATCCTACAAGCCACGCAAGCTGCTCCTACTACCTTCCTCACAGCACCTGCTGCCGATCCCACCAAGATCCTATGTTGCATCATGTATGCTCATGTGCAGAATGCAGCTGAGCCTGGCTCATTCAACTCCACCATCAACGAAGTATTCAAACTCAACAACATGCCTGAACTCACATTCCCTGCATCTCCACCTTCCACTGAGATCCTACAAACCACTGCAAATATTGCCAGCTTAACTGCTGTGCCACCACTGTCACAACCTCCACCTGACATGGAGATTGACCAGGCTGAGACTCCTGATACGGCGGTGAATTCCACCAATGAAAGTCCACCACCTCCTGCCTCCACCACCACCACAACTGTCCAAGCCGAGGCCTTGCCTCGAACAACTCAACCGCCATCCAAGAAAGCTAAAACACAAGAAGCAAGGGCTGCAACTCCCCACACCGCTACCACTGTTACACCACACCAAGGAGTCAAGGCCAAGAATCCCAAAACTCAAGAACCAAGAGCTGCAGCTCCCCAGGCCGCTGTCAATCCCCCACGGCAACAAGAAACCAAGGGCAAGAGTGGTGGACACTGCACACACAACCAGAAGAAGAACCCAATACAAACTCCAGAACGTGGGCAGGATAACAAAGACACTGGGAATCCTCACATACAAGAATTTGCCAAGCAAATCTACTCTGCCTTCAAAATTGGTGGAATCGATGGAATCGACCCTGTAGCACTGAGGAACAGGTTTAGTCAGCTTGTTGAAGAGGATTCCCGCTTCTAGCACCACCGTCAAGACAAGTTCCCCCAGCACTTTGCTGCCTGCTAAAGCTGGGGTGTGGCTCCAATCGACCCTGTTTTCTGCCTCTGCCCAATTGTGACATCGAAGATCCCAAGCAAGAAGACACTCCCCACTTGGGGAGTCCATGCAAGATAGAAGAAGTTACCCTCCAACCGGAGGGCCCAAGAGAGAAGATAGAAGAATGAAGAAGACGAACGACACCCCCGCCCCGGGGGACACCGCCGGGTCACCAGCTGGAGAAGACCCGGGCCGGAAGTACCGGCAAACATCTAAAGAAAGAAGAATTATCTATGGAGGCAAAGAAGGGAATGTATGAAAGTATAGTAGTACCAACACTCTAGATGTCCTGTCTAAAGGCAATGTGTGGTGTAAATATTATGCAGAAAATTTGGAGTGTGGAAATTAGGAGAAGGTGTAGAGTTAATAAAAGTATTAGTCAGAGGGCTGAAGAGGGGTTGTTGAGGTGGTTTGGTCATTTAGAGAGGATGGATCAAAGTAGAATGACATGGAGAGCATTTAAATCTGTAGGGGAAGGAAGGTGGGGTAGGGGTCGTCCTTGAAAAGGTTGGAAGGAAGGGGTAAGGGTGGTTTTGTGGGCGAGGGGCTTGGACTTCCATCAGGCGTACATGAGCGTGTTCAGTAGGAGTGAATGGAGACGAATGGTATTTGGGACCTGACTATCTGTTGGAGTGTGAGTAGGGTAATATTTAGTGAAGGGATTCAGGGAAACCGGTTATTTTTATATAGCCAGACTTGAGTCCTGGAAATGGGAAGTACAATGCCTGCACTGTAAAGGAGGGGTTTCGGGATATTAGCAGTTTGGAGGGATATGTTGTGTATCTTTATATGTATATGCTTCTAAACTGTTGTGTTCTGAGCACCTCTGCAAAAACAGTGATTATGTGTGAATGAGGTGAAAGTGTTGAATGATGATGAAAGTATTTTCTTCTTGGGGATTTTCTTTCTTTTTTGGTCACCCTGCCTTGGTGGGAGACAGCCGACTTGTTAAAAAAAAAAAAAAAAAGTTTAATGTTTCACCAATATTGCATTTCTGTTTCCTTTCATTTCCTTCCTATGTTGTCCCTTCACAATGAGTAACTTTTTTATACTTCCTTATCTAGAATGTTTCTCATATTTGCTTTTAGGTGTACTCTATATAATGTTTTTTCTGTGTATAATGTCCCTTTGCTGTTTTCTTTTTGAGATTTCCCCAACTTTGTTTGTGTGTAAAAATTTATACATTTTATCTTTGATTTTAGTTTTTGTATTAGATTATGGTTTGTTTCTGTATGTATTCTGATAGTTATTTTTATAAGTCATTTTATGATTGTGTTTTGTCATGTTATTCTGTAGAAAAATATGCTATTATTGTCTTTATTACTTTCCTCATTTAGCTCTTTTGCATTTTTTTTATATTCTCATATTTTTGTTTTTCCTCCTTTGTTGGTCCTGTCTGATTAATTTGTCATTCTAATGAAAACACATTTTCCTGGTTTCATTGAAATTTGTGTCAGGGCTAAGTCGAGAAAGGTAAGTAGCATTCATCACATGAGAATGTGACAGTGTACCTAGTAAATAAGTAATTTTTTTTTATAGAGCTGTTAATCTTTTCTTTCCACAGGACCTGTTAAGCAGCTTTCTAGACACAGCCAAATCTATCCAAGTGAGACGGGTGAGATACCACCTGACAGACCTCATAAGTGCCATTACTGCCTGGCAGCTTTTAAAAAGTCTTCTCATTTAAAGCAGCATGAGAGAACACACACTGGAGAGAGGCCATTTAAGTGTGAAAACTGTAATAAGTAAGTTTAGATAAGGTCACTATTTGTGTATAGACTATATACTAGTCTCTCTCTTGTTCATGCAGGTATAACAGTGTTTTATTTAAATTTCATGAAATGTGAGAAGAAAGTAAAACTCAAGTAAAGGACAGTTGCAAATATGGTATAATCAAGTTAAGATTGCTTTGAGATTTTTTTTATGCTTTGGTACTTTTTTCTTTATATACAAGTTACTTGCATGCTTTTCAGAGTGCTATTAAATATTATTGAATTAAATTAAACACCCACTTTTATTTTTTTCAGCTTAATCTCCTAAGTTTACTCATTCTTTTTAATTTAATTTTTTTCTTTTGACAAGCTTACATTATAACATACTGTACTTCATATATATCTTACACTCAATGAGAGGATACAGAGTCACATAGAGAGGGCGGGAAAGATGGGAAGTCAGCCAGCATTTTTGAAAAAGAAAGGGAAGAAGTGAATAAAGAAAAGATTCTTTAAAACATGAAGGAAATCTGTGGAGACAAAGAACTTTGTCCATGGAAGCAAAGAGGGGTATGTATGAGAGTATAGTTATACCAATGCTCTTATATGGGTGTGAAACGTGGGTGGTGAATGTTGCAACAAGGAGAAGGCTGGAGGCAATGGAGATGTCACATCTGAAGGCAATGAGTGGTGTGAATATAATGCAGAGAATTCATAGTTTGGAAATTAGGAGGAGGTGCGGGATTACCAAAACTATTATCCAGAGGGCTGAGGAGGGGTTCGTGAGGTGGTTTGGACATGTAGAGAGGATGGAACAAAATAGAATGACTTCGAGAATGTATAAATCTGTAGTGGAGGGAAGGCGGGGTAGGGGTAGGCCTAGGAAAGGTTGGCGGGAGGGGGTAAAGGAGGTTTTGTGTGCGAGGGGCTTGGACTTCCAGCAAGCATGCACGAGTGTGTTAGGAGCGAATGGAGACAAATGGTTTTTAGGACTTTACTTGCTGTTGGAGCGTGAGCAAGGTAACATTTATGAAGGGATTCAGGGAAACCGGCAGGCCGGACTTGAGTCCTGGAGATGGGAAATGCAGTGTTTGGACTCTGAAGGAGGGGTGTCAGTGTTGCAGTTTTATAACTGTAGTGTAAGTGTGCCTCTGGCAAGACAGTGGTGGAGTGAATGATGATGAAAGTTTTTCTTTTTTGGGGCACTCTGCCTTGGTGGCAGACGGCCGATGTGCTAATAAAAAAAAATGTGTAACCAGGACCGGTTTTTTTTTTTTTTTTTTTTTTCCCTCAGCAGGAAGCTTCAGAGGACAGTTGGTGACTGAGATGTATATAATCCAGATGCTTTCAGAATAATTCAGTTCAGTGAATCCACACATTTTATTGAGCAGTAGCTGATTATTATAAGCTTGTTGGAATTGTAGTAGTTAGAATTTGAAATTCTTATCACTTTAGAGTAGAATATTATCTCATCTAATATTTACTTTTTCTTTAGGCAATTTAACAATGTAAGTGTTCTGAAGTCGCATTTCAAAACACACACTGGACAAAGAACTCATAAGTGTCTCATATGCAACGGCCTTTTTGCTACTAGTGGTAGCCTGAGAAGACATCGAACAACCCACTCATCGGTAAGCTTTCTTATAAATGCTGTTAACTCTACGGTAATTCATAAGAGGAAAACTTTATAAAATGAGAATGTGTTTTATATCTCTAGTGTCCATACTATTTCTAGTATAGAAAATATTGGTAAAAGGAATTACTTATAATTCAGCTGTTGGCTTAGGGAGACTACACATGCAAAAGATCAAGGTTTAAAGCTAGATTAAGAAGTAGTATACAGTGGACCCCGCTTAACGATCACCTCCCAATGCGACCAATTATGTAAGTGTATTTATGTAAGTGCGTTTGTACGTGTATGTTTGGGGGTCTGAAATGGACTAATCTACTTCACAATATTCCTTATGGGAGCAAATTCGGTCAGTACTGGCACCTGAACATACTTCTGGAATGAAAAAATATCGTTAACCTGGGGTCCACTGTATACTGTTTATATGGGTCTGAATGTTCATTATCTGGATGGAAGCAACGTAAAGCCATAACATTTTAATCCATTTAAAGCATAATCGTTTATGTTGACAGTACTGTGTATTATTATGAACAGTTATTATGTTTAGCATACTTAATGCTTTCATGGATACATACCACATCATTTTTTGATCAACCTGTAGTCTTGTTTTTCTTAATGATTTTTTTCAGCTTAACTTTTTTGGAATACAGTACTTAAAAGTTGTAGATGTGAAATTAAGATAATGGTTAAAGCCGATATAAATGCTTCAGATACAAAATTGTTAGAGCAGTTTAAAATGTAAGACGCCTTAAGATGGGATTTGAATTTAAAATAAATCAGTCATGAAAATTATTAAAATACAGTGGACCCCCGGTTAACGATATTTTTTCACTCCAGAAGTATGTTCAGGTGCCAGTACTGACCGAATTTGTTCCCATAAGAAATATTGTGAAGTAGATTAGTCCATTTCAGACCCCCAAACATACATGTACAAACGCACTTACATAAATACACTTACATAATTGGTCGCATTCGGAGGTAATCGTTATGCGGGGGTCCACTGTATATGGATGCTAAATGAAGAAATGGGGTGGGTTTAGGTAGCTGTATATAATACATAGTTTATATAGCAATATTATTAAGTGGGATTTGCATGGAAGATAAAATTGTTTAGGTAAACATGAACACATCTGTAGTTGAATACACTCTGGTACACCTACGTGAGAGTCAAAAGTCATAGTTTTAAGGTTTTTATGTAATATAGTTAATAATTCTCATCCTGTTTCCAGGACCGTCCTTATATGTGTCCCTATTGCCAGAAAACTTTCAAAACAAATACAAACTGTAAAAAGCACATGAAAACCCACAAACATGAACTGGCTATGGAAGCAGTTAGGGCTGCTGGATCTAACTTGCAAGGGGACAACCAGCAAGCACTCCTTACCACTAGTCTCTATGGTCAGCAGACCACGTCAGCAACCCTGACTGATACAGAGGTCATAGTCCCTGATCTGAGTGGTATGGCTAGTGTCTTCCAGGAGGGGGATTTTCCACTCTCAGGTGATCTTCAGCAGCAAACACAGCATCAGCAGCAGGTGCAACAAGAAGATCTAACTGCTGCTCAGGTATGTCTTTGTTCAGGCTAGTGCTTTAGTCCACATTATTTTTAAATTAAAGAAAACATGCAGTGATTGTATCTGAATTTGTTCAGTTAGATAGGTCTCTTCTCTGTCTGTATATGCACATATTAGTGCCACTTAGAGATCTGTTACAAAAAAATTTCTCATCACATTGCTCTTGTGGTAAACATTTTTGCATCCTCTGTTTTTTTTTTATTTTTACCTGGGCTTTCCGGTCTTTATATTTATTTTTTCTTTAACACTGGCTGTCTCCCACTGAGGTAGGGTGACCCGCTCCCCCCCAAAAAAAAAAGAAACGCTTTCACCATCATTCACAGATAATCACTGTCTTTGCAGAGGCATATGGATAAGACAGTTGAGATGATACTCGAAATAGCAAATATCCCAAACCCCTCCTTTAAAGTACAGACATTGTACCTCCCTTCTCCAGGATTCTAGTATGGCAAACTGGTTTTCCTGAACCCCTTCACAAAATATTACCCTGCTTACACTGCAGCAGTTCATTGAGTCCCAAAAATCATTCATCTCCATTCACTCCTGTCTAACACTAACACACTCACACATGCCTGCTATGTGTCTTATTTTATACCCATGAATTTTCTGTTTGTTAATACTTCTCCAGGTAATTGTAAATTCTTATGCATTCTCTTGTAAGAGAGAGCTTTGCAACTTTTACTGTACCTTGCACACTGTCATATATAACTTGCAGGCACTATCTCACTTCATCTGCTTCTCTTTTATCCACAGTTACAACAGTCTTTCCATCTCTGTGATAATTTCTGTGCCTTTTTCACTTGCTTAGATTTGTCAGTCACTTTAATATTCTTTATTATTTCTTTTTGCTTGATACTTGAGAGTTGACGTGTCGGCGGATGGATTTATGAAGGATGAGGTTAATCATAGAATTGATGAGGGAAAAAAGGCGAGTGGTGCTTTGAGGTATATGTGGAGTCAAAAAACGCTATCTATGGAGGCAAAGAAGGGAATGTATGAAAGTATAGTAGTACCAACACTCTTATATGGGTGTGAAGCTTGGGTGGTAAATGCAGCAGCGAGGAGACGGTTGGAGGCAGTGGAGATGTCCTGTTTAAGGGCAATGTGTGGTGTAAATATTATGCAGAAAATTCGGAGTGTGGAAATTAGGAAAAGGTTTGGAGTTAATAAAAGTATTAGTCAGAGGGCAGAAGAGGGGTTGTTGAGGTGGTTTGGTCATTTAGAGAGAATGGATCAAAGTAGAATGACATGGAAAGCATATAAATCTATAGGGGAAGGAAGGCGGGGTAGGGGTCGTCCTCGAAAGGGTTGGAGAGAGGGGGTAAAGGAGGTTTTGTGGGCAAGGGGCTTGGACTTCCAGCAAGCGTGCGTGAGCGTGTTAGATAGGAGTGAATGGAGACGAATGGTACTTGGGACCTGACGATCTGTTGGAGTGTGAGCAGGGTAATATTTAGTGAAGGGATTCAGGGAAACCGGTTATTTTCATATAGTCGGACTTGAGTCCTGGAAATGTGAAGTACAATGCCTGCACTTTAAAGGAGGGGTTTGGGATATTGGCAGTTTGGAGGGATATGTTGTGTATCTTTATATGTGTATGCTTCTAAACTGTTGTAGTATTCTGAGCACCTCTGCAAAAACAGTGATAATGTGTGAGTGTGGTGAAAGAGTTGAATGATGAAAGTATTTTCTTTTTGAGGATTTTCTTTGTTTTTTGGGTCACCCTGCCTCGGTGGGAGACGGCCGACTTGTTGAAAAAAAAAAATAGTAAAAATAATCGTTTGTGAGAAGCCATGCTCACGTACTCATGCACAATTTCTTGCTCAAATGTTGGACAAATTACTTATATACTGAGCCTTTTAGGGGCCATGATGACTTGGTAATCCAAACAAAGTTATGAAATGTAAATAATGCAGAGTAGATGTGGAAATAACACATGATAACTTTAAACTGAAAAGTAAACATTCTTCTACATTGTACTAGAGTACAAACTCTGCTGTTGGCTAAGAGTCTACCATAGAGACATTCAACCCCATTGCTGATTGGCTTCTCATAGATCCCTACTCCTATTGGCTTGGATAATGTCCAAGAGGCAAGCTGCCGCATCGCTGGTTGGCTAGGGCCCACCCACACAAGAACTGATGTTCCTATTGGCTCAAATGCTGCCCAAGAGGCAAACTACCACATTGCTGGTTGGCTGAGGCCTCCCCACACACACTGACCATAATAATAATAATTACAGTAATAATAATAATAATAATAATAAAGTACACACCGCCCAGGGAGGTACTACCGTCCTGCCAAGTGAGTGTAAAACGGAATCCTGTAATTGTTTTACATGATGGTAGGATTGCTGGTGTCTTTTTTCTGTCTCTTAAACATGCAAGATTTCAGGTACATCTTGCTACTTCTTCTTACACTTAGGTCACACTACACATACATGTACAAGCATATATATACACACCCCTCTGGGTTTTCTTCTATTTTCTTTCTAGTTCTTGTTCTTGTTTACGTATTTCCTCTTATCTCCATGGCGAAGTGGAACATAATTCTTCCTCCATAAGCCATGCGTGTTGTAAGAGGCAACTAAAATGCCGGGAGCAAGGGCCTAGTAACCCCTTCTACTGTATAAATTACTAAATTTAAAAAGAGAAACTTTCGTTTTTCTTTTGGGGCATCCTGCCTTGGTGGGATACAGCCGGTTTGTTGAAAAAAAAAAAAAGTACATTATACAGCTATTACAAATCTAGCTGATATCATAGGAAGCCTTTATATATAGACAGAGCATTTTGGGCAACTTAAGTTAATTTTGTTTCCCCAGGATGCAACCCTCCACAGTTGTAATATCGTACACACATATCATGTCTCCAATTTTTCATTGTAACTCGAAATTAAATTCGTCTAAAAATTATCATAATTTCAGCCCTTCGTAACTTAAGGGACTACTCTATTTTTATTAATTTGTCGAACATTCAAATGCTATCTTTTGAGAAGTGCAGTTCAAATGATTGCCTGAATTGCAACATACCTAACTTATTTCTGTGGGTAGGTTAATTGCTAATATGTAGGCATTGACAAAATATAATTATTAAACTAGTTAATTTTGTTTAATTCCATGTTATTTTTTACAGGTCCTTCCAGCAGCATTTGCACAGGGTGTTGATGAGAGTGGTCTAACCCTAGCTGACCTTCAGACAGGGGTTGAGCATAGTTTAGCATCTGGAGAAGCTGTCATTTTAGGAACACAGCCTACTACCATCACCACACACCTGAATGGGTCCTCAATACTTATTCCTCACTCTTCAGGAGGCCATGGTTCAACTGGATCATCCATTCTTCTTCCACATTCAGCTTCAAGTCTTGTTACTAGTGCTTCATCTGTATTTCATGGAACTAGTAGCACTTCTGTCTTACAAGGTGCTAGTGGCTCCTCTATCTTGCTCCCAAATTCATCTGATCAGGGATCTGGCTCATCTGTATCTAACCAAGTATCCCAGGATGGTGGTGGAACAACTGTCCTTACACTCCCACATTCTTCAGGTAATAATGTATTGACCGTCCACCAACCATCTGTGATACAAGGACCTGCTCGGGAGGAATCGGTCAATGTTACCTCAGTCATACAGTCTCAACCCAGCATCATGAGCCAGTCTGGTGCATCCACATATTCTACCTCCATTTCATCACGTCAGGCAATACTGGGTCATACTCAAGATTTTAGTTCCATTGGAGATCCAGGAGGATTGGAAATGGTAAATCTGTCATCCTCAATGATTGGTGGAAATTCTCAAAACAAATATGCCTCCACTGTTTTACAAACCAGTCTCCAACTTGAAGGCAGCAGAGGAGCTGTCATCACTAATCCCTCTGATCAAGTGAATTCTGGTAAGTGTTGATTGGTTCAGTATTAAAATTAGTTAAATGGAGCATTGTTTTTTTTTTTAAATCAGCAGCTGTCTCCTAGCAAGGCAGGTTGACCCAAAGAAGAAAATATATTCACCAACATTCACCCAGTTGCCATCTTTCCAGAAGTGCCTTAGAGTGAAGAAGAGAGAAAAGTAAGAAATAAATATATACACATAGGTAGTAGGTTGGTAGACAGCAACCACCCAGGGAGGTACTACCGTCCTGCCAGGTGAGTGTAAAACGAAAGCCTGTGATTGTTTTACATGATGGTAGGATTGCTGATGTCTTTTGTCTGTCTCATAAATATGCAAGATTACAGGCATGTCTTGCTACTTCTACTTACACTTAGGTCACACTACACATACATGTACACATTTATTTATACACACTCATCTGAGTTTTCTTTGATTTTATCTTAATAGTTCTTGGTCTTATTAATTTTCCTTTTATATCCATGGGGAAGTGGAATAAGAATCTTTCCTCCGTAAGCCATGCGTGTTGTAAAAGTCAACTAAAATGCCGGGAACAATGGGCTAGTAACCCCTTTTCCTGTAAAGATTACTAAAAAGAATAATAAGAAGAAAATTGTCAAAGTGGGAAGTCTGAATGTGTGTGGATGTTGTGCAGATGATAAGAAAGAGATGATTGTGGATGTTATGAATGAGAAGAAGCTGGATGTCCTGGCTTTAAGTGAAACAAAGCTGAAGGGGGTGGGAGAGTTTCAGTGGAGAGGAATAAATGGGATTAGGTCAGGGGTTTCAAATAGAGTTAGAGCTAAAGAAGGAGTAGCAATAATGTTGAAGGATAAGCTATGGCAGGAAAAGAGGGACTATAAATGTATTAATTCAAGGATTATGTGGAGTAAAATAAGGATTGGATGTGAAAAGTGGGTTATAATAAGCATGTATGCACCTGGAGAAGAGAGAAGTGTAGAGGAGAGAGAGAGATTTTGGGAAATGTTGAGTGAATGCGTGGGGAGTTTTGAATCAAGTGTGAGAGTAATGGTGGTTGGGGATTTCAATGCTAAAGTGGGTAAAAATGTTATGGAGGGAGTAGTAGGTAAATTTGGGGTGCCAGGGGTAAATGTAAATGGGGAGCCTTTAATTGAGCTATGTGTAGAAAGAAATTTGGTAATAAGTAATACATATTTTATGAAAAAGAGGATAAATAAATATACAAGGTATGATGTAGCACGTAATGAAAGTAGTTTATTAGATTATGTATTGGTGGATAAAAGGTTGATGGGTAGGCTCCAGGATGTACATGTTTATAGAGGGGCAACTGATATATCGGATCATTATTTAGTTGTAGCTACAGTTAGAGTAAGAGGTAGATGGGAAAAGAGGAAGGTGGCAACAACAAGTAAGAGGGAGGTGAAAGTGTATAAACTAAGGGAGGAGGAAGTTCGGGTGAGATATAAGCGACTATTGGCAGAAAGGTGGGCTAGTGCAAAGATGAGTAGTGGGGGGGTTGAAGAGGGTTGGATGAGTTTTAAAAATGCAGTATTAGAATGTGGGGCAGAAGTTTGTGGTTATAGGAGGGTGGGAGCAGGAGGAAAGAGGAGTGATTGGTGGAATGATGAAGTAAAGGGTGTGATAAAAGAGAAAAAGGTAGCTTATGAGAGGTTTTTACAAAGCAGAAGTGTTATAAGAAGAGCAGAGTATATGGAGAGTAAAAGAAAGGTAAAGAGAGTGGTGAGAGAGTGCAAAAGGAGAGCAGATGATAGAGTGGGAGAGGTACTGTCAAGAAATTTTAATGAAAATAAGAAAAAATTTTGGAGTGAGTTAAACAAGTTAAGAAAGCCTAGGGAAAATATGGATTTGTCAGTTAAAAACAGAATAGGGGAGTTAGCAGATGGGGAGATGGAGGTATTGGGTAGATGGCGAGAATATTTTGAGGAACTTTTAAATGTTAAGGAAGAAACAGAGGCAGTAATTTCATGCACTGGTCAGGGAGGTATACCATCTTTTAGGAGTGAAGAAGAGCAGAATGTAAGTGTGGGGGAGGTACGTGAGGCATTACGTAAAATGAAAGGGGGTAAAGCAGCTGGAACTGATGGGATCATGACAGAAATGTTAAAAGCAGGGGGGGATATAGTGTTGGAGTGGTTGGTACTTTTGTTTAATAAATGTATGAAAGAGGGGAAGGTACCTAGGGATTGGCGGAGAGCATGTATAGTCCCTTTATATAAAGGGAGAGGGGACAAAAGAGACTGTAAAAATTATAGAGGAATAAGCTTACTGAGTATACCAGGAAAAGTGTACGGTAGGGTTATAATTGAAAGAATTAGAGGTAAGACAGAATGTAGGATTGCGGATGAGCAAGGAGGTTTCAGAGTGGGTAGGGGATGTGTAGATCAAGTGTTTACATTGAAGCATATATGTGAACAGTATTTAGATAAAGGTAGGGAAGTTTTTATTGCATTTATGGATTTAGAAAAGGCATATGATAGAGTGGATAGAGGAGCAATGTGGCAGATGTTGCAAGTATATGGAATAGGTGGTAAGTTATTAAATGCTGTAAAGAGTTTTTATGAGGATAGTGAGGCTCAGGTTAGGGTGTGTAGAAGAGTGGGAGACTACTTCCGGTAAAAGTAGGTCTTAGACAGGGATGTGTAATGTCACCATGGTTGTTTAATATATTTATAGATGGGGTTGTAAAGGAAGTAAATGCTAGGGTGTTCAGGAGAGGGGTGGGATTAAATTTTGGGGAATCAAATTCAAAATGGGAATTGACACAGTTACTTTTTGCTGATGATACTGTGCTTATGGGAGATTCTAAAGAAAAATTGCAAAGGTTAGTGGATGAGTTTGGGAATGTGTGTAAAGGTAGAAAGTTGAAAGTGAACATAGAAAAGAGTAAGGTGATGAGGGTGTCAAATGATTTAGATAAAGAAAAATTGGATATCAAATTGGGGAGGAGGAGTATGGAAGAAGTGAATGTTTTCAGATACTTGGGAGTTGACGTGTCGGCAGATGGATTTATGAAGGATGAGGTTAATCATAGAATTGATGAGGGAAAAAAGGTGAGTGGTGCGTTGAGGTATATGTGGAGTCAAAAAACGTTATCTATGGAGGCAAAGAAGGGAATGTATGAAAGCATAGTAGTACCAACACTCTTATATGGGTGTGAAGCTTGGGTGGTAAATGCAGCAGCGAGGAGACGGTTGGAGGCAGTGGAGATGTCCTGTTTAAGGGCAATGTGTGGTGTAAATATTATGCAGAAAATTCGGAGTGTGGAAATTAGGAGAAGGTGTGGAGTTAATAAAAGTATTAGTCAAATGGCAGAAGAGGGGTTGTTGAGGTGGTTTGGTCATTTAGAGAGAATGGATCAAAGTAGAATGACATGGAAAGCATATAAATCTATAGGGGAAGGAAGGCGGGGTAGGGGTCGTCCTCGAAAGGGTTGGAGAGAGGGGGTAAAGGAGGTTTTGTGGGCAAGGGGCTTGGACTTCCAGCAAGCGTGCGTGAGCGTGTTAGATAGGAGTGAATGGAGACGAATGGTACTTGGGACCTGACGATCTGTTGGAGTGTGATCAGGGTAATATTTAGTGAAGGGATTCAGGGAAACCGGTTATTTTCATATAGTCGGACTTGAGTCCTGGAAATGGGAAGTACAATGCCTGCACTTTAAAGGAGGGGTTTGGGATATTGGCAGTTTGGAGGGATATGTTGTGTATCTTTATATGTATATGCTTCTAGACTGTTGTATTCTGAGCACCTCTGCAAAAACAGTGATAATGTGCGAGTGTGGTGAAAGTGTTGAATGATGATGAAAGTATTTTCTTTTTGGGGATTTTCTTTCTTTTTTTGGGTCACCCTGCCTCGGTGGGAGACGGCCGACTTGTTGAAAAAAAAAAAAATACATAGGAAATTAAATTGACTACTTAAAATAGATGGCTTGATCATGTGTGTATATGTATGTATGTATGTATGAGATATCAGATTGGTAGGAGGTAGTATGGAGGAAGTGAATTTGTTCAGATATTTTGGAGTGGATTTGTTTGCAGATGGGTGTATAAAAGACAAGGCAAACTATAGAATTGATGAAGGGAAAAAGGTGGGTGGTGGATTGAGGCAGCTGTGGAGACAAAAAACATTATCCATTGAGGCAAAAAGGGGAATGTATGAGTATATAGTGGTACTAAAATTCTTATACGGGTGTAAAGCATGAGTTATGAATGTTGCAGGAAGGAGGCTGGAGGCAGATTAGATGTTGTCTGAGGGCAATGTGTGCTGTAAATATGCAGAGAATTTGTAGCTTGAAGATTAAGAGGAGGTGTGGGGTTACTAAAAGTATTATCCAGAGGGCTGAGGAGGGGCTGTTGAAGTGGTTCATGTTTTCATTTTTTTTTTTAACATGTCACCCATTTCCCACTGAGGCAGGGTGACCCAGAAAAAAAAGAAACGCTTTCACCATCATTCAACACTCACCATCATTCACACACAATCACTGTCTTTGCAGATGCGCCCAGATACAACAGTTCAGATGTCACTCCAAACAGCCAATGTCTCAAACCCCTCCTTTAAAGTGCAAGCATTGTACTTCCTACCACCAGGACTCAAGTTCGGCTAACCGATTTCCCTGAATATCTTCACAAAATATTACCCTGCTCACACTCCAACAGCTCATCAAGTCTCAAAAAACATTCATCTCCATTCATTCCTATCTAACATACTCACACATGCCTGCTGTATGTCCAAGCCCCTTGCACTCAAAGCCTCTTTCACCCCACCATCCATCCTTTTCTAGGATGATGCCAACCCCTCCACTATAGATTTATACACCCTCCAAGTCATCCTATTTTTCTGGATCCTCTTCAAATGCCCAAACCACCTCAACAACCCCTCCCCAGCCCTCTGAATAATACTTTTAGCTACTCCACACCTCCTCCTAATTTCCACACTACGAATTCTCTTGCATAATATTTACACCACACATTGCACTAAGAAATGACATCTCCACTGCCTCCAGCCTCCTTACTGCAGCATTTACAACCCATGGTTCACACCCATAAGAGTGCTGGTACAACTATACTCTCATACATTCCCTTCTTTGACTCTATGGATAATGTTCTTTGTCTCCACAGATATCTCAAAGCACCACCCACCCTTTTTCCTTCATCATTTGTATGGTTTACCTTATCCTTCATAAACTCATCTGCTGACAAGTCTGTTCCCAGATATCTGAACACATTCACTTCTTCCATACTCCTTCCTCCCAATATATGCTGTAAACAGCTTCACTGGCATAAGCTTCAACACCAATTTTTCCGACATTCCCCTTGTAATGTCACTTGTAAATTCTCCATAGTTAATTTGGTTTAGAGCATGGACAGACATATTGAATATATGGCACATTATATTAATGTTGTTAATATGTACTTTTGTAATATTAAACAATCGCTGACTCCTTCCACAGGAGAAACTAATCTAGCAGGAGAAGCAGTGGGTGCATCGAGCACTGGTCTTGCAGGTGGCCTTGTAGAGAGTGATGATGATGGTCGGGTTGTTACTAGTCATTCTACCTCAGCTGTTGCTGCCAGCGATGCTACTCCTACCACACTTCTTGAAGCCAACTTTGACCATCAAGGCTTCTCCGATGGTTTTACGCTTCATGTACCTGTACGTATTTTGACATGTCATTTACAAACAAAATTATGTATTTAAAAAGAAATCATATATTACAAATATTCACCAATTTTCATATATACACCATTTAAGCTGATATGTTTACACTTGGTAACTTGGTGAAAATGCTTACAAGAAAGTTACCATCATATAATTAAATGAGGCAATAGAATAAGGAAGTATTAGGGAAAAAAATTATGTTGCCTATATAGTATTTATGGCATCAAAGACAGGTTTTAAGTATAACATAAACCTAATTCATGTTATGCTTAATTTTTCCTTGTTACAGTTCATTTTCTTTTTCTTGCAGCCTGGTTTAGACTTGTCTAGTTTGGGACAGAGTGGGGAAATACCGTCATCGCAATTGGTCCAGCTACTTAACACACAAGAGCCCTTATCAGAAGTTTCAACTATAAAAGTTCCTGCGCCCGCAACCACACCACCACCCAGCCAAGACCCTGCACCCCCAGAGCCTGTTATCTCTGTCTCTAAAGTCTATGAGTAAGTTATGATATTTACTAGTATATTAATTTACATTGGAAGGAAGGAGTATGGTACCGGTTTCTCTGAATCCCTTCACTAAATATTACCCTTCTCACACTCCAACAGCTTGTCAGGTCCCAAATACCATTCGTCTCCATTCACTCCTATCTAACATGCTCACGCAAGCTTGCTGGAAGTTCAAGCCCCTTGCCCACAACAACAACCCCTCTTCAGCCCTCTGACTAATACTTTTATTAACTCCACATCTTCTAATTTTCACACACCAAATTTTCTGCATAATATTTACACCACACATTGCCCTTAGACAGGACATCTCCACTGCCTCCACCCACCTCCACGCTGCAACATTTACAACCCAAGCTTCACACCCATATAAGAGTATTGGTTCTACTATACTTTCATACATTCCCTTCTTTGCCTCCATAGATAACATTTTTTGTCTCCACATATACCTCAATGCACCACTCACCGTTTTTCCTTCATCAATTCTATGATTAACCTCATCCTTCATAAATCCATCTGCTGACACGTCAAGTCCCAAATATCTGAAAACAAGCACAGTATCATCAGCAAAAAGTAACTGTCACTTCCCATTTTGTATTTGATTCCCCATAATTTAATCCCACCCCTCTCCTGAATACCCTAGCATTTACTTCTTTTACAACCCCATCTATAAATATATTAAACAACTATGGTGACATTACACATCCCTGTCTAAGACCTACTTTTACCAGGAAGTAGTCTCCCTCTTCTACACACCCTAACCTGAGCCTCATTATCTTCATAGAAACTCTTTACAGCATTTAGAAACTTACCACCTATTCCATATACTTGCAACATCTGCCACATTGCTCCCCTATGCACTCTATCATTTTTTTTTTTTTTTTTTTTTTTCAACAAGTCGGCCGTCTCCCACCGAGGCAATAAAAACTTCCCTACCTTTATCTAAATACTGTTCACATATATGCTTCAATGTAAACACTTGATCTACACATCCCCTACCCACTCTAAAACCTTCTTGCTCATCCGCAATTCTACATTCTGTCTTATCTCTAATTCTTTCAATAATAACGCTACCATACACTTTTCCTGGTATACTCAGTAAACTTATTCTTCTATAATTTTTACAATCTCTTTTGTCCCCGTTCCCTTTATATAAAGGGACTATGCACGCTCACTGCCAATCCCTAGGTACCTTCCCCTCTCTCATACATTTATTAAACAAAAACAGCAACCACTCCAACACTATGTCCCCCCCCTGCTTTTAACATTTCTGTCATGATCCTGTCAGTTCCAGCTGCTTTACCCCCTTTCATTCTATGTAATGCCTCACGCAACTCCCCCACACTCACATCCTGCTCTTCTTCACTCCTAAAGGATGATATACCTCCCTGGCCAGTGCATAAAATTACCGCCTCCCTTTCTTTGTCAACATTTAAAAGTTCCTCAAAATATTCTCGCAATCTACCCAGTACCTCCATCTCCCCATCTACTAACTTCCCTACTCTGTTTTTAACTGACAAATCCATTCATTCCCTAGGCTTTCTTAACTTGTTTAACTCACTCCAAATTTTTTTTTTTATTTTCATTAAAATTTCTTGACAGAGCGTCTCCCACTCTATCATCCGCACTCCTTTTGCACTCTCTCACCACTCTCTTCACCTTTCTTTTACTCTCAGTATACTCTACTCTTCTTATAACACTTCTGCTTTGAAAAAACCTCTCATAAGCTATCTTTTTCTCTTTTATCACACCATTTGCTTCATCATTCCACCAATCACTCCTCTTTCCTCCTGCACCCACCCTCCTATAACCACAAACTTCTGCCCCACATTCTAATACTGCATTTTTAAAACTATTCCAACCCTCTTCAACCCTCCCACTACTCATACTTGTACCAGCCCACCTTTCTGCCAATAGTTGCTTATATCTCACCCGAACTTCCTCCTCCGTTAGTTTATACAGTTTCACCTCCCTCTTACTTGTTGCCATTTTCCTCTTTTGCCATCTACCTCTTACTCTAACTGTAGCTACAACTAGATAATGATCCGATATATCAGTTGCCCCTCTATAAACATGTACATCCTGGAGCCTACCCATCAACCTTTTATCCACCAATACTTAATCTAACAAACTACTTTCATTACATGCTATATCATACCTTGTATATTTATTTATCCTCTTCTTCATAAAATATGTAGTACTTATTACCAAACCTCTTTCTACACATAGCTCAATTAAAGGCTCCCCATTTTCATTTACCCCTGGCACCCCAAATTTACCTACTACTCCCTCCACAACATTTTTACCCACTTTAGCATTGAAATCCCCAACCACAAGTACTCTCACACTTGGTTCAAAATTCCCCATGCATTCACTCAACATTTCCCAAAAATCTCTCTCTTTCTTCTACACTTCTCTCTTCCCCAGGTGCATATACGCTTACTATAACCCGCTTCTCACATCCAACCTTTGTTTTACTCCACATAATCATTGAATTAATACATTTATAGTCCCTCTTTTACTGCCATAACTTATCCTTCAACATTATTGCTACTCCTTCTTTAGCTCTAACTCTATTTGAAACCCCTGACCTAATCCCATTTATTCCTCTCCACTAAAACTCTCTCACCCCCTTAAGCTTTATTTCACTTAAAGCCAGAACATCCAGCTTCTTCTCATTCATAATATCCACAATCATCTCTTTCTTATCAATTGCACAACATCCACGCACATTCAGAGTTCCCACTTTGACAATTTTTTTCTTCTTATTCTTTTTAGTAATTATTACAGGAAAAGGGGTTACTAGCCCATTGTTCCCATCATTTTAGTTGACTTTTACAACACACATGGCTTATGGAGGATAGATTCTTATTCCACTTCCCCATGGATATAAAAGGAAAAGTACTAAGACCAAGAACTATTAAGATAAAATCAAAGAAAACTCAGATGAGCGTGTATAAATAAACATGTACATGTATGATTAGTGTGACCTAAGTGTAAGTAGAAGTAGCAAGACATACCTGTAATGTTGCATATTTATGAGACAGACAAAAGGCGCCAGCATTCTTACCATCATGTAAAACAATTACAGGCTTTCGTTTTACACTCACTTGGCAGTACGGTAATACCTCCCTGGGTGGTTGCTGTCTACCAGCCTACTACCATGGAAGAAGTGAATTTTTTTTTTTTTTTTCAACAAGTCGGCCGTCTCCCACCGAGGCAGGGTGACCCAAAAAAGAAAGAAAATCCCCAAAAAGAAAATACTTTCATCATCACTCAACACTTTCACCACACTCGCACACCATCACTGTTTTTGCAGAGGTGCTCAGAATACAACAGTCTAGAAGCATACACATATAAAGATACACAACATATCCCTCCAAACTGCCAATATCCCAAACCCCTCCTTTAAAGTGCAGGCATTGTACTTCCCATTTCCAGGACTCAAGTCCGACTATATGAAAATAACCGGTTTCCCTGAATCCCTTCACTAAATATTACCCTGCTCACACTCCAACAGATCGTCAGGTCCCAAGTACCATTCGTCTCCATTCACTCCTATCTAACACACTCACGCACGCTTGCTGGAAGTCCAAGCCCCTTGCCCACAAAACCTCCTTTACCCCCTCTCTCCAACCCTTTCGAGGACGACCCCTACCCCGCCTTCCTTCCCCTATAGATTTATATGCTTTCCATGTCATTCTACTTTGATCCATTCTCTCTAAATGACCAAACCACCTCAACAACCCCTCTTCTGCCCTCTGACTAATACTTTTATTAACTCCACACCTTCTTTTAATTTCCACACTCCGAATTTTCTGCATAATATTTACACCAGATAATTTGAGAGTAGATTTGTCAGCAGATGGGTTTATGAAGGATGAGGTTAAACATAGAACTGATGAAGGAAAAAGGGGTGAGTAGTGTGTTGAGGTATCTGTGGAGACAAAAAAAGTTATCCAAGGAGGCAAAGAGGGAAATGTACGAAAGTATAGTGGTACCAACACTCTTATATGGGTGTGAAGCATGGGTTGTGAATGTTGTAGCGAGGAGGAGGAGGCTGAAGGCAGTGAAAGTGTGTCTAAGAATAATGTGTGGTGTAAATATTTTGCAGAGAATTTATAGTGTGGAAAGTAGGAGGAGGTGTGGAGTTACAAAAAAAAAGTATTATTTAGAGGGCTGAAGAGGGTCTATTGAGGTGGTTTGGTCATTTAGAGAGGATGGAGCAAAATAGAATGACTTGGAGGGTGTGTAAATCTGTAGTGGAGGGGAGAAGGGGTAGGGGTCATCCTAGGAAAAGATGGAGGTAGGGGGTAAAAGAGGTTTTGTGTACAAGGGGCCTGGACATGCAGCAGGCTTGTGTGAGCATGTTAGATAGAAGTGAATGGAGATGAATGGTTTTTGGGACTTGACGAGCTGTTCCTGGAGTGTGAGCAGGGTAATATTTTGTGAAGGGATTCAGGGAAACCAGACTTGAGTCCTGGAGGTGGGAAGTATGATGACTGCACTTTAAAGGTAGGGTTTGGGATATTGGCTGTTTGGAGTGACATCTAAACTGTCATATATGGGGACCTCTGCAAAGACAATGATTATGTGTGAATGATGATGAAAGTGTTTCTTTTTTGGGTTACCCTGCCTCAGTAAGAGACAGCCAGCATGTTCATTTTTATATTTGCTAACTAGTAAGTTATTTGAATTGTGATACCTGTGCTTCTGAAAAGACAGGTAGAGACTGAGTGATAGTGAATGTTTCCTTCGTCTTACCTTGGGTCATCTTACCTTGATGGGAAACGGTTAATTTGTTAAAGAAACAAAAAATTTACTGTATTAATACTATGGATACAACTTTTCAGTCAGGTACAGTAATTTATAATTAACCCTTTGAGGGTTTTCATCGTACTAGTACGTCTTACGCATAGGGTTTTTTGACGTACTAGTACTCATAAATTCTAGCGGCCTCAAATCTAGTGGGAGAAAGCTGGTAGGCCTTCATATGAAAGAATGGGTCTATGTGGTCAGTGTGCACAGTCTAAAAAAAATCCTGCAGCACACAGTGCATAATGAGAAAAAAAAAACTTTGACCATTTTTTTTTAATAAATCAGCGACTTTGCAGTGTATTTTCGTATGGTATTTATTGTTGTATTCTAGTTTTCTTGGTCTCATTTTATAGAATGGAAGACATATTACAGAAATTGAGATGATTTTGACTGGTTTTACAAAGAAAAGGTGCCTTGAATTGAGCTCAAAGTAGCAGAAATGTTCGATTTTTACCAAACTTCAAAAGTAAACAAATCGTGCCAAGCGTGCAATACACGTCAACTGGTGAGTCTAATATTCTTTCACAAGTGCACCAATAATATTTATACCATTTTTTACACTAATGCAGTAGTCTGCATAACAGTAAATCTTATATTTTTTTTGTGAAAATAAAAATTCAAAGTGGAAAGCAAAAGAATATAAGAGGGGCCTTGAGACATGACTAATGACTAAAGGAAATGTCATTTTAGTGCCAGGAATGTCTTTCTTGTTTATTCTGGACCCTATTCGGAAATTGGCATCTTTTGAAATTTGTGTGAAATTGGCAAAATTGCTAAATTCTGACCACTGTACTGGATAGTTGGATTTCATAAATGAGTGGTTTCTTGCACCCATTCGATAGAAAAAATGGAGTTCTAGCGAAATATTCATGTTTTTGTCGACTAGTACAGAGAAATTGGCCGAAAATGGGACTCAAAGTGGGCAAAATCGCCGATGCGTAAACATCGCCGAGACCGCTAACTTTGCGAGAGCATAATTCCGTAAGTTTTCTGTCAAATTTCAAACTTTTGGTGTCTTTATGATCGGGAAAAGATTCTCTATCTTTTCATAAGAGAAAATAATTTTTTTTTTTTTTAAATTTGGCCGACCCTGAGAACGAGTTTCGGAGAGGGCCTGTCGACCCTCAAAGGGTTAATGGTAATGATAAATGTTAAATAAGTAGGGAAATTTTTTCTTGCGTTTTGCTTCACTGATCATCTCCCACCAACATATGGTGACACAAGAAAAAATACATTGACTATCATTCATCCAATCACTGCCTTTCCAGAAGTATGCTGATATCACAGTTCAGATCACCCTCTGACTGTAACATCTTCACCCCTCGTCATCCTAACCTGAGCCTTACTCTGCATAAAAATTCTTAGCCGCTTTTTGTAACCTTCCTATTCTATACATTTGCAACATCTGCAACATGGCTTCCTTATCCACCCTATCATATGCCTTTTCTAAATCTATAACTGCAATAATCAGCTCATTAACCTTATCTAGATACTGCTTGCTTAATATGCTTGAATGTAAACACTTGGTCTGCACATCCTGACCCTTTCGAAATCCTTCCTGCTTGTCTGCAATCCTTGCAGTAGTAATTTTGCCGTAAAATTTAGCTGGTAAACTCGATGAGCTTATCCCCCTCTAATTCTCATATTCTTTCTTGTCCTCTTCCAACATTCATATATTGAACAATCACATTAACAACTCCAACACTATCCCCACCTTCTTTTAACCCTTTCAGGGTCCAAGGCCCAAATCTGGAGTCACGCACCAGTGTCCAAGAATTTAAAAAAAAAAAATTTGTTATTTTTTCTTATGAAATCGTAGAGAATCTTTTTGTGAAGGTAATAAAACAAAAAGTACGAAATTTGATGGAAAATTGACGAAATTATGCTCTCGCGAATTTTGATGTGTCAGCGATATTTACGAATCGGCGATTTTGCCGACTTTGACTCCCATTTTAGGCCAATTACATTATTCCAATCAACCAAATTCTTAGCTATTTCACTAGTATTACTTCTATTCTATCGATTGAGCCCAAGAAATCGCCAAGTCAACTGTTTCAACTACAAAATAAAGTGATCGGAAATTGTTAATTTGGCCAATTTAACACAAAGTTCAAAATATTCCAATTTCAAAATAGGGTCCAGAATGAACAATGTAGGCATTCCTGGCACTAAACTAACATTTCCTCTGTTCATTAGTTATGTTTTGAGGCTTTACAAATAAATTCCATTTTGATTTTTTATTCACATAATGAATTTTTATTCACACCAAAAAATAGAAGATTTACTGTTATGCAATACTGTAATAATTGTATAAATATCATCACCATATTTGTGAATGTATATTAGACCCACCAGCTGGTGTGTATTAGACGTGTGAGGTCGTTTGTTTACTCTTGAATATCGGCAAAAATTTAGTATTTCTGCTACTTTGAGCTCAGTTTCAAGCCATTTCCAGTGCTAAAATCAATCAAAATCATCTCTATTTCTGTAATATGTCTTCCATTCTATCAAATGAGACCAAGAAATCGCAAATACAACTATAAAAAACATATGAAAAAACGCTGCAAAGTTGCTGTTTTAATCGAAAAATCATGATTTCAGTTTTTTTTCTCTCATTATACACAGTGTGCTGCAGGATCTGTTTTATGTGGTGCACACATACCACATAGATGTATTCTCTCATATCTAGGCCCAAATGTACCACTCACAGTTTATCAGAGTGAGCTGAGCTCATGGCGTAGATCTACGGTTTGGACCCTGAACGTAAAGCCGTAGATCTATGGGACGGACCCTGAAAGGGTTAACATCTCTGTCTTGATCCCATCTATCCCAGTCACACACCCACTTTCATCCTACTTACAGTCCTGAGTACTTTTCCCATATCACTCCTAAACAATGTTATCCCTCCCTGATCCATGCCTGAAATCACTGCCTTCCCTCTTGGTTTTAACTGCTAAGCTCATCTGCTCCTCAGGCTTTCTCATCTTATTGATCTCTCTCTGCAAAGCATCTTATATCAGCATTTGAGAAAATGAGATATATTTTAACCTCAAGCAAATCTAGTCAACAAATTCAAATTTACCTTACATTAAACAGTTGTTTTCCTCTGTAACTTTTGTAATGTTGGCCATTGTAATAATGTATTTGCATTACAGTAAAATTAAGGCATTATGATGTATGAATTTTGTATTTAAATTTTTTTGGGTATAACTTTATACATTTCGTTAGTTTTTTGAACTTTAATGTTACACATTATGGATATGTATAATTTTACATGAATTTTAATTGTTTGAAAGGTGCACTGAGTGTAAGAAGACATTTCGTAAGTTACCTCACTTACGATCCCACCGAAGAATCCATAACCAGAATAAAACGAATCATTGTTCAACTTGCAACAAAACTTTTTCTTCATTTTGTGCACTCAAGGTAAGTGTCTGCCTTTACATTTGCATTTGCTGAGATATTGTATTTATGACCTTGCGAGCTTGTATTTGTTCCTTATTAGAAACAGGATGGTCCATGCAGTGTATGTTTCATTATGTTACATATATGTTATATCTGTATCTGCTGTTTTCTTCTTTTGACACACCGGCCGTATCCCACCGAGGCAGGGTGGCCCAAAAGGAAAAACGAAAGTCTGCTGTTTTCTTGTCTGCATAAAATGCATTATCCAATTTTTTCATCTTAACCCTTTGAGGGTCGCCAGGCCCTCTCAGAGACTTGTTCTCAGGGTCGCCAAAATTTCAAAAAAAAAAAAAATTATTTTTTCTTTTGAAAAGGTAGAGAATCTTTTCCCGATCATAACAACACCAAAAGTATGAAATTTGATGGAAAACTTACAGAATTTTGCTCTCACTAAGTTAGCAGTCTCGACGATGTTTACGCATCAGCGATTTTGCCCACTTTGAGCCCTATTTTTGGCCAATTCCAGTGTACTAGTCTACAGAAATCATAACTATTTTGCTAGAACTCCGTTTTTTCTATCGAATGAGTACAATAAACCACTAATTTACCGATTTCAACTATAAGACATAAGATTTACTGTTATGCAGACTACTGTATTAGTGTAGAAATGTTATAAATAATATCAGTGCACTTGTGAAAGAATATTAGACTCACCAGTTGATGTGTATTGGATGCGTGGCATGATTTGTTTACTTTTGAACTTTGGCAAAAATTGAAAATTTCTGCTACTTTGAGCTCAATTTCAAGGTAATTTTCATTGTGAAACCAATCAAAATCATCTCAATTTCTGTAATATGTCTTCTATTCTATAAAATAACACCAGGAAAACTAGAATATAACCATATTTTTTTTTTTTTTCAAAAAACCGGCCGTATCCCACCAAGGCAGGGTGGCCCAAAAAGAAAAACAAAAGTTTCTCTTTTTAAATTTAGTAATTTATACAGGAGAAGGGGTTAATAGCCCCTTGCTCCATGCAACCATAAATACCATACGACAATACAGTGCAAAGTCGCTGTTTTAAACCAAAAACACAGTCAAAGTTTTTTTTTTTCTCATTACGCACTGTGTGCTGCAGGATTTATTTTATACCGAGCACAGTGACCACATAAACCCATTCTTTCATATGTAGGCATACCAGCTTTCTCTTGCTAGATTTGAGGGCGCTAGAATTTATGCATACTAGTACATCAAAAACCCTGGTGCGTAAGCTGTACTAGTACGGCCAAAACCCCGAAAGGGTTAATGGACACCCTGCTTCAGTGGAAAACGGCCGACTTTTTTTTTTTTTTTTTTTTTTTTTTTTTAACAAACTGGCCGTATCCCACCAAGGCAGGGTGGCCCTAAAAGAAAAATGAAAGAAACGGCTGACGTATTAAAAAAAAAAAAAAAAAAGCCTTTTCTGGAAAACACACCTGACAGAGTGTCTGTGATATATTAGAGTCTCGAACAGTCTTTTCTGATGTCTTTCCTTTTGTAAATATAATACCAGTGAGAAAATGGATGAGTCTATTAGTTAATTGTGATGAGAATGATAAACAGTTTTCGAGAGAGAGAAATAAATTGTGGGGATGATGCAGTTTGGAGAGTCATTTGAATTGTGATGTCTTCACACTTCTGGCAAGACAGCAGTTGAATAAATAATGGTGAATGTGTTTCTTTTTGAGTAGGGGTTAAGCTTTTCTTGGTGAAAGATGACTAGTGTTTTAAAACTAAATAAATAAAACAAATGAGTTAATAAATGAAGTAAACCTGGGAAGCAAATGGACTTGGTAATTAAAAATGAAAGAGGGGAGATGTTAGATGGGGAAAAAGAGGTGCTAGAAGGATGGAGTGAATATTTTTTTATTTTTTTTTTTTTTTATTTTTTTTTTTTTTTTTTATTTTTTTTTTATTATTATTCTTATTATTATTATTATTATTATTATTATTATTATTATTAGCACACTGGCCAATTCCCACCAAGGCAGGGTGGCCCAAAAAAGAAAAACTTTCACCATCATTCACTCCATCACTGTCTTGCCAGAAGGGTGCTTTACACTACAGTTTTTAAACTGCAACATTAACACCCCTTCTTCAGAGTGCAGGCACTGTACTTCCCATCTCCAGGACTCAAGTCCAGCCTGCCGGTTTCCCTGAATCCCTTCATAAATGTTACTTTGCTCACACTCCAACAGCACGTCAAGTATTAAAAACCAATTGTCTCCATTCACTCCTATCAAACACGCTCACGCATGCCTGCTTGAAGTCCAAGCCCCTCGCACACAAAACCTCCTTTACCCCCTCTCTCCAACCTTTCCTAGGCCAACCCCTACCCCGCCTTCCTTCCACTACAGACTGATACACTCTTGAAGTCATTCTGTTTCGCTCCATTCTCCCCTCATGGAAGGTTCCTTGATGTTGGTGAGGGGCTCTTGATTTAGGGAATTGGAACTGTGCTCCAGTTCCCCGAATTAAGCCTGAATGCCTTCCACATCCCATTCCCCCCCCGGGCGCTGTATAATCCTACGGGTTTAGCGCTTCCCCTTTGATTATAATAATAATTCGCTCCATTCTTTTTACATGTCCAAACCACCTCAACAACCCTTCCTCAGCCCTCTGGACAACAGTTTTGGCAATCCCGCACCTCCTCCTAACTTCCAAACTACGAATTCTCTGCATTATATTCACACCACACATTGCCCTCAGACATGACATCTCCACTGCCTCCAGCCTTCTCCTTGCAACATTCATCACCCATGCTTCACAACCATATAAGAGCGTTGGTAAAACTATACTCTCATACATTCCCCTCTTTGCCTCCAAGGACAAAGTTCTTTGTCTCCACAGACTCCTAAGTGCACCACTCACCCTTTTCCCCTCATCAATTCTATGATTCACCTCATCTTTCATAGACCCATCCACTGACACGTCCACTCCCAAATATCTGAATACATTCACCTCCTCCATACTCTCCCTCCAATCTGATATCCAATCTTTCATCACCTAATCTTTTTGTTATCCTCATAATCTTTACTCTTTCCTATATTCACTTTTAATTTTCTTCTTTTACATACCCTACCAAATTCATCCACCAACCTCTGCAGCTTCTCTTCAGAATCTCCCAAGAGCACAGTGTCATCAGCAAAGAGCAACTATGACAACTCCCACTTTGTGTGATTCTTTATCTTTTAACTCCACACCTCTTGCCAAGACCCTCGCATTTACTTCTCTTACAACCCCATCTATAAAGATATTAAACAACCACGGTGACATTACACATCCTTGTCTAAGGCCTACTTTTACTGGGAAATAATCTCCCTCTTTCCTACATGCTCTAACTTGAGCCTCACTATCCTCGTAAAAAATCTTCACTGCTTTCAGTAACCTACCTCCTACACCATACACCTGCAACATCTGCCACATTGCCCCTCATCCACCCTGTCATACACCTTTTCCAAATCCATAAATGCCACAAAAACCTCTTTAGCCTTATCTAAATACTGTTCACTTATATGTTTCACTGTAAACACCTGGTCCACACACCCCCTACCTTTCCTAAAGCCTCCTTGTTCATCTGCTATGCTATTCTCCATCTTACTCTTAATTCTTTCAATAATAACTCTACCATACACTTTACCAGGTATACTCAACAGACTTATTTTTTTTTTTTTATTATCACACCGGCCGATTCCCACCAAGGCAGGGTGGCCCGAAAAAGAAAAACTTTCACCATCATTCACTCCATCACTGTCTTGCCAGAAGGGTGCTTTACACTACAGTTTTTAAACTGCAACATTAACACCCCTCCTTCAGAGTGCAGGCACTGTACTTCCCATCTCCAGGACTCAAGTCCGGCCTGCCGGTTTCCCTGGTAGTAGGTTGGTATAGGTAGTAGGTTGGTAGACAGCAACCACCCAGGGAAGTACTACCGTCCTGCCAGATGACTGTGAAACAAAAACCTGTAACTGTTTTGCATGATGGTAGGATTGCTGGTTTCTTTTTCTGTCTCATAAACACGCTAAGATAACAGGGATATCTTGCTACTCCTACTTACACTTTGGTCACACTTCACAGACACGCACATGCATATATATATATACATACATCTAGGTTTTTCTCCTTTTTCTAAATAGCTCTTGTTCTTTTTTATTTCTTCTATTGTCCATGGGGAAGTGGAAAAGAATCTTTCCTCCGTAAGCCATGCGTGTCGTATGAGGCGACTAAAATGCCGGGAGCAATGGGCTAGTAACCCCTTCTCCTGTATACAATTACTAAAAAAGAGAAGAAGAAAAACTCAACAGACTTATCCCCCTATAATTTTTGCACTCTCTTTTGTCCCCTTTGCCTTTATACAAAGGAACTATGCATGCTCTCTGCCAATCCCTAGGTACCTTACCCTCTTCCATACATTTATTAAATAATAGCACCAACCACTCCAAAACTATATCCCCACCTGCTTTTAACATTTCTATCTTTATCCCATCAATCCCAGCTGCCTTACCCCCTTTCATTTTTACGTACTGCCTCACGAACTTCCCCCACACTCACAACTGACTCTTCCTCACTCCTACAAGATGTTATTCCTCCTTGCCCTATACATGAAATCACAGCTTCCCTATCTTCATCAACATTTAACAATTCCTCAAAATATTCCCTCCATCTTCCCAATACCTCTAACTCTCCATTTAATAACTCTCCTCTCCTATTTTTAACTGACAAATCCATTTGTTCTCTAGGCTTCCTCAATTTGTTAATCTCACTCCAAAACTTTTTCTTATTTTCAACAAAATTTGTTGATAACATCTCACCCACTCTTTCATTTGCTCTCTTTTTACATTGCTTCACCACTCTCTTAACCTCTCTCTTTTTCTCCATATACTCTTCCCTCCTTGCATCACTTCTACTATGTAAAAACTTCTCATATGCTAACTTTTTCTCCCTTACTACTCTCTTTACATCATCATTCCACCAATCACTCCTCTTCCCTCCCGCACCCACTTTCCTGTAACCACAAACTTCTGCTGAACACTCTAACACTACATTTTTAAACTTACCCCATACCTCTTCGACCCCATTGCCTATGCTCTCATTAGCCCATCTATCCTCCAATAGCTGTTTATATCTTACCCTAACTGCCTCCTCATTTAGTTTATAAACAATCACCTCTCTCCTCCCTGATGCTTCTATTCTCCTTGTATCCCATCTTCCTTTTACTCTCAGTGTAGCTACAACTAAAAAGGGATCTGATATATCTGTGGCCCCTCTATAAACATGTACATCCTGAAGTCTACTCAACAGTCTTTTATCTACTAATACATAATCCAACAAACTACTGTCATTTCGTCCTACATCATATCTTGTATACTATTTATCCACTTTTTCTTAAAATATGTATTACCTATAACTAAACCCCTTTTTATACAAAGTTCAATCAAAGGGCTCCCATTATCATTTATACCTGGCACCCCAAACTTACCTACCACACCCTCTCTAAAAGTTTCTCCTACTTTATCATTCAGGTCCCCTACCACAATTACTCTCTCACTTGGTTCAAAGGTTCCTATACATTCACTTAACATCTCCCAAAATCTCTCTCTCCTCTACATTCCTCTCTTCTCCAGGTGCATACACGCTTATTATGATCCACTTTTCACATCCAACCTTTACTTTAATCCATATAATCCTTGAATTTACACATTCATATTCTCTTTTCTCCTTCCATAACTGATCCTTCAACATTACTGCTACCCCTTCCTTAGCTCTAACTCTCTCAGATACTCCAGATTTAATCCCATTTATTTCCCATTTATTTCATGTCTGAGGGCAATGTGTGGTGTGAATATAATGCAGAGAATTCGTAGTTTGGAAGTTAGGAGGAGGTGCGGGATTACCAAAACTGTTGTCCAGAGGGCTGAGGAAGGGTTGTTGAGGTGGTTTGGACATGTAGAGAGAATGGAGCGAAACAGAATGACTTCAAGAGTGTATCAGTCTGTAGTGGAAGGAAGGCGGGGTAGGGGTCGGCCTAGGAAAGGTTGGAGGGAGGGGGTAAAGGAGGTTTTGTGTGCGAGGGGCTTGGACTTCCAGCAGGCATGCGTGAGCGTGTTTGATAGGAGTGAATGGAGACAAATGGTTTTTAATACTTGACGTGCTGTTGGAGTGTGAGCAAAGTAACATTTATGAAGGGATTCAGGGAAACCGGCAGGCCGGACTTGAGTCCTGGAGATGGGAAGTACAGTGCCTGCACTCTGAAGGAGGGGTGTTAATGTTGCAGTTTAAAAACTGTAGTGTAAAGCACCCTTCTGGCAAGACAGTGATGGAGTGAATGATGGTGAAAGTTTTTCTTTTTCGGGCCACCCTGCCTTGGTGGGAATCGGCCAGTGTGATAATTAAAAAAAAAAAAAAAAAAAAATTATTTCCCCCCACCAAAACTCCCCTACCCCCTTCAGCTTTGTTTTGCTTAGGGCCAGGAGATCCAACTTCTTTTCATTCATAACATCAGCAATCATCTGTTTCTTGTCATCCGCACTACATCCACACACATTCAAGCATCCCAGTTTTATAAACTTTTTCTTCTCTTTTTTAGTAAATGTCTACAGGAGAAGGGGTTACTAACCCATTGCTCCCGGCATTTTAGTCGCCTCATACGACACGCATGGCTTAGGAGGAAAGATTCTTTTCCACTTCCCCATGGACAATAGAAGAAATAAAGAAGAACAAGAGCTATTTAGAAAAAGGAGAAAAACCTAGATGTATGTATATATATATGCATGTGAGTAGTCACGAAAGCGCTTGGAATTTCTCTATTCTTTCAGAGTGGTTGTTTTGCATATTTTGAAATCACCTGTTCTCTGTGATCTTATTGCATATATATGCATGTGCATGTCTGTGAAGTGTGACCAAAGTGTAAGTTGGAGTAGCAAGATATCCCTGTTATCTAGCATGTTTATGAGACAGAAAGAGACACCAGCAATCCTACCATCATGTAAAACAGTTACAAGTTTCTGTTTCACAGTCATCTGGCAGAACGGTAGTACTTCCGTGGGTGGTTGCTGTCTACCAACCTGTTCATTGTTAATTAATGATAGAAGGGTGGTAGTGATTTCATGCATTAGACAGGGATTAATAACATCTCATAAACGTAAAGATCTTGCTAGAGGTGGATGTGGGGGGGAAATGTGTGAGGCAGTGGATAGAATGAAAGAGGAATGAAGCAGCTGGGATAGATGAGATTAAGACAGGTGTTAAAACCAAATGGGAATAGTGTTGGAAGTGTGTATGCATTTGTTCACTAAGATAAGATAAGATAAGATTTCGTTTGGATTTTTAACCCCGGAGGGTTAGCCATCCAGGATAACCCAAGAAAGTCAGTGCATCATCGAGGACTGTCTAACTTATTTCCATTGGGGTCCTTAATCTTGTCCCTCAGGATGCGACCCACACCAGTCGACTAACACCCAGGTACCTATTTGCTGCTAGGTGAACAGGACAATAGGTGTAAGGAAACGTGTCGGAATTTCCACCCGCCGGGAATTGAACCCGGGCCCTCCGTGTGTGAAGCGGGAGCTTTAGCCACCAGGCCACCGGGCCACCATGTGTATGAAAGAAATGAAAGTACCTTGCACTTCTTTCTAACCCTTCCTGGGACATACTGTATACCCCTTTCCACCCACCCTGGATATATACCAAGTACTATCTTGGTCATCATACTCTGCTTTATCTTTTCTTAATGCCCAAACACTCTTAACAACCCTTCCTTCACTCTCTTGCCTTCTAATTTCTTTCACTTATATTCTCTGTAAAAATACTTGCATCACACATTGATCTCACACATGACAGTTCCACTACCTACAGTCTCCTTCCTACTGCATTCTAAGACCATGCTTCATATCAATCATATACACAAGTATTGCAGCATTTCTAAATATTCCTTTAAGTTTATGTTAGTTGTATCCAGCCCATGTGTAATGATAAACTGAACTTTTTTTTTTACATTTGTTTATGTAAAACGTAGTATTAACAAATGTTTGTGTGATTATTGTTTAACATTGCATTGTTTTCATGTTATTTGCAGGAACATCAGCGGCAACATTCACGATCATCGAATACTCACCAGTGTAATAACTGTCCGGAAAGATTCCCAAATCTCAGTCGGCTCCTCAAGCACATGCAGGTGGAACATTCCAGGTACAGTCAGACATTTATGCAAATTTGGTGTAACAACAGTAAACTTTCTAGTTTGTCACTAATGTTCACCAGTGCTAATGACTAAGCACTGGTGAACCTGATTTACCTGACAGTCACTCTTATTTAATTGCCTTGATGATCAAGCAAAATGGAGCAAGATAAATAAATAAAATAATGCATGCACTGTATATACAGTGGAAATATAAACACAAATGCAGTATAATGTGATCCTTTATTGACAACGTTTCACCCACACAGTGGGCTTTTTCAAGTCACACACGAATCTACCTGGGGTTGGAAGGTACGAGAGTATTTATAGTCAGAATGTTGAAGTCAGGTGAAGAATGCTGCATCTGATGATCTACCGGGTGGGGTTATAGACTCTTGGGTAGCTTGGCAGGGGTATTGGACAAGTTGTAGACCTTCTGCAGTGTTCTTATGTGGGATAGCGATGAAGAAGTTTCTTGGCGAGTGGTTCAGCTATGTTATAGAAGCCATTGTTCTGGTTGAAATTGTTGGTTATAGAGATAAACGATGATTCCAGGATTCTTCTGTATTGAGTGTTGTCTTCTGTGGCTATAAGTCTTGAGTTTCTGTAGTTAATTAAATGGTTGTGTGAATTGCGATGTTGTACACAGGCATTCCTTGTATCGTCAGTCCTGCTTGCATATTGGTGTTCTGAAATACGTGTTTGGAGGTCTCTTGATGTTTCGCCCACATATAATTTGTTGCAGTCATTACAAGGGATTATGTATACCCCTGCAGAGGATGGAGGCTTGTCCTGTCTACTACTGGTGATGTCCTTGATGGTCGTGGTTGTGGAGGTAGATACTTGGAATGATGTTTTGGCAAAGATGTTGGAAACATGTTTGGCAATGGAGTTGGTGGGAAGGACTATGTATCTCTTCTCGGCAGTGTCTTCTCTGGGTGTGTTGAAGATGTTTAATGCTCGCCGTCTGCAGTCTCTGATGAAGTGACGAGGATAGTGGAGTTTGGAAAATACTTGTTCAATTATAGTGCATTCTTCCTCAAGGAACTCGTTGCTGCAGATTCTGAGTGCACGCAGGAAGAAGCCTATAATTACACCACGTTTGGTTTTGGTGTCGTGGTGAGAGTAGAAGTGGAGAAGATCGTTTTGGTTGGTGGGTTTTCGATAGACGTCTGTCACCTGGTTCCGTTATGTTGACGACATTCTCCTCATAACTCCTAAACGCTTCAACGTTCAAGCTCTCCAAGACAAGCTCAACCAGGTCGAGCCTTCAATCCAGTTCACACTTGAAGAAGAAGTCGACAACACTCTTCCTTTCCTTGATGTTCTACTCTGCAAAGCTGACCACGAACTTCGTTTTAAAGTCTATCGAAAACCCACCAACCAAAACGATCTTCTCCACTTCTACTCTCACCACGACACCAAAACCAAACGTGGTGTAATTATAGGCTTCTTCCTGCGTGCACTCAGAATCTGCAGCAACGAGTTCCTTGAGGAAGAATGCACTATAATTGAACAAGTATTTTCCAAACTCCACTATCCTCGTCACTTCATCAGAGACTGCAGACGGCGAGCATTAAACATCTTCAACACACCCAGAGAAGACACTGCCGAGAAGAGATACATAGTCCTTCCCACCAACTCCATTGCCAAACATGTTTCCAACATCTTTGCCAAAACATCATTCCAAGTATCTACCTCCACAACCACGACCATCAAGGACATCACCAGTAGTAGACAGGACAAGCCTCCATCCTCTGCAGGGGTATACATAATCCCTTGTAATGACTGCAACAAATTATATGTGGGCGAAACATCAAGAGACCTCCAAACACGTATTTCAGAACACCAATATGCAAGCAGGACTGACGATACAAGGAATGCCTGTGTACAACATCGCAATTCACACAACCATTTAATTAACTACAGAAACTCAAGACTTATAGCCACAGAAGACAACACTCAATACAGAAGAATCCTGGAATCATCGTTTATCTCTATAACCAACAATTTCAACCAGAACAATGGCTTCTATAACATAGCTGAACCACTCGCCAAGAAACTTCTTCATCGCTATCCCACATAAGAACACTGCAGAAGGTCTACAACTTGTCCAATACCCCTGCCAAGCTACCCAAGAGTCTATAACCCCACCCGGTAGATCATCAGATGCAGCATTCTTCACCTGACTTCAACATTCTGACTATAAATACTCTCGTACCTTCCAACCCCAGGTAGATTCGTGTGTGACTTGAAAAAGCCCACTGTGTGGGTGAAACGTTGTCAATAAAGGATCACATTATACTGCATTTGTGTTTATATTTCCATTGTGTCGGTATTTTATACCACTTATTTCCACTGTATATACAGGAGGACCCCGCTTTACAATACTTCATTTTACAGCGTTTTGCTTTACAGTGTTTTTCTAATATAATTGTTTTCAATTATACCCATTCTTCATTTATTCAGGCTACCTACAATAAATATATTCATCACTCATTCTAAGCTAAGTACGAAGATATTTTAAGGTAAGTAATATGTGTACTGTACACGTATTTCTTAGGCCTAGCTGTATTGCTCACTTAATATGTGATTGTGTAAACATGTTATCAGTCTTTAAATGCATTTGAAAGTGAAAAAAAGGGCTGTGTTTCACTTTACAGCAATTTTCACTTTACAGTGGTAGCCTGGAACCTAACCTGCTGTATAAGCGGGGTCCTCCTGTACCTGGAGATAATATCTGATATCTTTTGGGCATATACCTTAAGATTTTTGTTTTAAGGGTGTATTTGGAATTTATACTCATTTGAACTTCCTACTTTTGCACACCAAAATTCCTTCACCAACTTCGGCAGTTTCTTTCCCATGTCTTTCAAGAGCACTGCATCATATGAAGAATAGAAACTTTGACAACTCCCACCTAATATCATTCATTATATTTTAAGACCAAACCTCCATCTAATTCACATCACACAGATCCTTGTCTACAGTCTACTTCTTTCTTTCTTTCAACACACCAGCCGTATCCCACTGAGGCGGGGTGGCTGAAAAGGAAAAACAAAACTTTCTCCTTTTCTTTCTTTCTTTCAACACACCGGCTGTATCCCACCGAGGCGGGGTGGCCAAAAGGAAAAACAAAAGTTTCTCCTTTCACATTTAGTAATTTATACAGGAAAAGGGGTTACTAGCCCATTGCTCCCGGCATTTTAGTCGCCTCTTACAACACGCATGGCTTATGGAGGAAGAATTCTGTTCCACTTCCCCATGGAGATAAGAGGAAATAAACAAGAACAAGAACTAGAAAGAAAATAGAAGAAAACCCAGAGGGGTGTGTATATATGTGCTTGTACATGTATGTGTAGTGTAACCTAAGTGTAAGTAGAAGTAGCAAGATGTACCTGAAATCTTGCATGTTCATGAGACAGAAAAAAGGACACCAACAATCCTACCATCATGTAAAACAATTACAGGCTTTCGTTTTACACTCACTTGGCAGGACGGTAGTACCTCCCTGGGTGGTTGCTGTCTACCAACCTACTACCTAGGCTACAGTCTACTTATTCTAGGAAATATTCCCATGTTTTCTCCTACATACAGCTGGCAAAAATGTTCCCTTAAATATTTTCTTTCTTTCAACACACCGGCCGTATCCCACCAAGGCGGGGTGGCCCAAAAGGAAAAACAAAAGTTTCTCCTTTTACATTTAGTAATATATACAGGAGAAGAGGTTACTAGCCCCTTGCTCCCGGCATTTTAGTCGCCTCTTACAACACGCATGGCTTACGGAGGAAGAATTCTATTCCACTTCCCCATGGAGATAAGAGGAAATAAACAAGATTAAGAACTAGAAAGAAAATAGAAGAAAACCCAGAGGGGTGTGTATATATATATATGCTTGTACATGTATGTGTAGTGTGACCTAAGTGCAAGTAGAAGTAGCAAGACATACCTGAAATCTTGCATGTTTATGAGACAGACAAAAGACACCAGCAATCCTACCATCATGTAAAACAATTACAGGTTTTCATTGTACACTCACTTGGCAGGACGGTAGTACCTCCCTGGGCGGTTGCTGTCTACCAACCTATTACCTAGGCTACAGTCTACTTATTCTAGGAAATATTCCCATGTTTTCTCCTACATACAGCTGGCAAATTTGTTCCCTTAAATATTAACTAAATATTAAAACTAACAGAAACATGTATTCAGGGCAAATGTTTACTGTACAGTACATAATTTGAATCATGCAGCTGCAGATAATAGGGAATTTTGTTTATCTGATATTTTTTTTTTTTTATATGTTGGCCATTTCCCACTGAAACAGGGGTAACCCATAAAAGGAACACTTAAACCATCACTCACACTGTCACTGTCTTGCTGCTATCTGGATGCTTCATGCAGGTACAACAGGTTTGATATCCCTCTAAACAGCAAATATCTTCATCTGATTGGCTTCAAATCTTCAGCATTGCTAACTCTTTATTAGAGAAACTCCTAAAAGTGGCATCTTTTGCCTTTAAGTTCCTTAAGATGAAGAAAAAATTTCTGATTGGCTTCAAAATTGAAGTACCAAAGTTTTTTGCAATATTGGTCTCTGTGTGATGACTAGAGAATATCTTTTCTGATTATCAGGCTTTAGGCTTTCAAAGCTGGTACATCTTAGTCTAAGGATCAAATTGGTTTTGGTGCCATTTTTATTAAGGAAATTGAGATATTAGTTTACCTGCAATAACTTGTGAAAGCTTCTTCTGATGGGCTTCAGTTCTTCAATGCTGAATTTTAACTGCATCACTTCAGTACCCTTTCAAACTGTAAGAATTATTTTTTTTTTTCAATATCTTGCCACACAGAAAATTTTGTATATTCCTGGTATGCAACAATTAAGGGGTTAATTAAAGAAAATGGTGATAGTATCTTTATTGTCATCAAAGAGCAAACCATCACTGATATTTCTTTTGTAAATTCTTTCTGTTATTTCCTTGCATTTTCATCATCTGAAGCAGAGTGTAAGCATTTGAGGTAAGCAGAGTGTAAATATTTAAATAATTTGAGGGTGATTCTAAATGCAACAGCTGACTTTGTACACAGGGAAATAGATTAATGAATTTGTTCATAAACCATCCATTAGTTATTCTTTAAGCATAAGTTAACATTTGTTTATGTTTATTACAGTGTATGGCATTGTCCTGTGTGTGAACTTGTGTTTGAGTCTTCATCAACATTCCAAAGACATTTACGCTCCCATAGCATAGATGCCATTAATGAAGCCATAAGTAAAACTAAGGTAAGAATCATACTGAATTCTTCAACATTTCCTGCTTATTTACTTTCCTTTTTTGCCCATCAGTGATCTTAAAAACAACAAAGCACTATTAGGTAGGTAATGAATACCAGTTGAGGATTATCCTCTTCAAGGTCATCACAGTCCATGGGCTGCTTAGGACTTGAGGTGAACATTGATGTGGTTCTGGAAATGCTGCTATTAAAGCATCTAAAAAATGCAGGATTATAGGCTGCCTTGCTGTACTCTTCTTTTCTCAATAGACCTTCCAGTTTATGGCAAGTGTTGCTTCCAGCCTCCATTTAAAGTTCAAATTCCTTCTAGTTTGGTTTATTGTTTTCTGCTTCCTTGGCTGCCTATTCCATGAGTTTGAAGAGGTGATAGGTAAAGTTAAGCATTGACTTGAAATTAGTCATCATATTGAAATGTATGTCAAAAGATCACACAAATTCCTGTCACTTAGTTCTGAATTGCTCTTATTACCTAAGATTATCATACTACTGCTTTTATACATCATTACATATCTGCAATTTTCCGAACTGTTCCCCAACTTTGTATATGTCTTAACAATCTTTTAACACTGCTCAAACTACTTCATACTCAGTTATTTTGCACAATAACAAATTACAGAGTGAAGACGTGGGGATAGATGGCAAAGTTAAAGTAACTTTGACTCCTGAAGAAATGGATGCCATTCTTCAGCAGACAACAGGATCTCAAATTAGTATGGAAGAAGGAAGTCAGAAGGCTGACACAAAAGGTGATACTCCCGCTGCTAAGCGACATCATTCCTCCCAAGATGTTGATAATCTCCAGGTTACTTTTTTGAAAGGAAATGAAACAGAAGAGGTAAGTGGGCATTTTTTGAAAATAACAATGGTATATATATATATTTAGTAAAGCAAGTCACTGTTACTTTTTTATATCCCTGTTTGGAAAATACAGTAAAAAGCCCGTATCCGCAGATTCGATTTCCATGGTTTCAAATATCCGCGGTTTACCATGGCCTGTAAATATTAAGTGGAAAATTCCGGAAATAAATGATTCATCAGTTCCAAATTGTGCTCCATTCTGAGTAACACTCGGTACATGACTCATCTCTCAATAGCCTAACACAATGTCACAATACCTACACCATCACCTCACTTCATCTCATCATGGTAGGCATTGTATTATCATCACAGCATCATATCATTGCAGCAATAACAAAGAATGGAGAAGCCAGTAAGTACCCACACGTGGGTATGAAAACCATCAAAAATTTTATTATAATTTTTTTATTAGCACATCAGCTGTTTCCCAGCTAGGTATGGTGGCCTGAAAAAGAAAAACTTGCACCAACATTCGCATGCTTACACTACAGTTATAAAACTGCAACATTAACACCCTTCCTTCAGAGTGCAGGCGCTGTACTTCCCATCTCCAGGACTCAAGTCCAGCCTGTCAGCATCCCTGAATCCCTTCATAAATGTTTCCTTGCTCACACTTGAACAGCACGTCGAAAATATTCGGAAAAATTCAGAAAATGAGTTAAGCTTAACAAAAAAAAAAAATAATTCAGCAATCTAGTAACATTTTAGTCTTGATCTCATCTTTGTACAATGTTTCTAAAGAAAATAGTAATTCTTTCTTTCTTTTAACACACTGGCCGTATCCCACCAAGGCAGGTTGGCCCAAAAGGAAAAACGAAAGTTTCTCCTTTTACATTTAGTAATATATACAGGAGAAGGGGTTACTAGCCCTTTGCTCCTGGCATTTTAGTCGCCTCTTACAACACGCATGGTTTACGGAGGAAGAATTCTGTTCCACTTCCCCATGGAGGTAAGAGGAAATAAACAAGAACAAGAACTAGAAAGAAAATAGAAAGTAAAAGGACACAAGTGCAACTAATGTGACATTTTATTGTGGCAACGTTTCGCTCTCCAGGAGCTTTATCAAGCCATTACAAACAATACATGGACACAGAGGGTATATAAAGGCTCAGAGTGAGGTGCAATACTAGTGAGGTACCATTTCGATGTTCACTAGTGGTAGTAGTAGTAGTAGTAGTATTTTTTTTCTTTATTATTATCACACTGGCCGATTCCCACCAAGGCAGGGTGGCCCGAAAAAGAAAAACTTTCACCATCATTCACTCCATCACTGTCTTGCCAGAAGGGTGCTTTACACTACAGTTTTTAAACTGCAACATTAACACCCCTCCTTCAGAGTGCAGGCACTGAACTTCCCATCTCCAGGACTCAAGTCCGGCCTGCCGGTTTCCCTGAATCCCTTCATAAATGTTACTTTGCTCACACTCCAACAGCACGTCAAGTATTAAAAACCATTTGTCTCCATTCACTCCTATCAAACACGCTCATGCATGCCTGCATGAGTAGTAGTAGTGACAAAAGTAATACAATATTGTAGAGCAATTAATTCGTACATGAGTAAAAGGATATAAAAGCTATTACTTGGGTAACATAAAAATAGGTTGGACAAATATAGACTGGAAAGAGGCAGCTTGTTTCAGTGTTCACTCTCAAGTAATAGCTTTTATATCCTTTTACTCATGTACGAATTAATTGCTCTACAATATTGTATTTTACTTTTGTCACTGCTACTACCACTAGTGAACATCGAAATGGTACCTCACTAGTATTGCACCTCACTCTGAGCCTTTATATACCCTCTGTGTCCATGTATTGTTTGTAATGGCTTGATAAAGCTCCTGGAGAGCGAAACGTTGCCACAATAAAATGTCACATTAGTTGCACTTGTGTCCTTTTACTTTACATATTGTTGGTAATTCTACCAACTATATTACAAGAAAATAGAAGAAAACCCAGAGGAGTGTGTATATATATATGCTTGTACATGTATGTGTAGTGTGACCTAAGTGTAAGTAGAAGTAGCAAGATGTACCTGAAATCTTGCATGTATGTATATGAGACAGAAAAAAAAGACACCAGCAATCCTACCATCATGTAAAACAATTACAGGCTTTCGTTTTACACTCGCTTGGCAGGACAGTAGTACCTCCCTGGGTGGTTGCTGTCTACCAACCTACTACCAACAATAATAGTAATTATTATTATTATTATTATTATTATTCTTACTACTTGATATACGTATTACAATCACTATTTGGCATAGTTATGAAGTGGGAGGAGGTTATCCCAGGCAAAGGAGAGGTGACTCAGCTGAGCAGTCTCATAAGTGCTTGAGATGCCATGACATAAGTGAACAGTATTTAGATAAGGCTAAACAGGTCTTTGTGGCATTTGTGGATTTGGAAAAGGCATATGACAGGGTGGATAGGGGGTCAATGTGGCAGATGTTGCAGGTGCATGGTGTAGGAGGTAGGTTACTGAAAGCAGTGGAGAGTTTTTACAAGGATAGTGAGGCTCAAGTTAGAGTATGTAGGAAAGAGGGAAATTATTTCCCAGTAAAAGTAGGCCTTAAACAAGGATGTGTGATGTCACTGTGGTTGTTTAATATATTTATGGATGGGGTTGTAAGAGAAGTAAATGCGAGGGTCTTGGCAAGAAGCGTGGAGTTAAAAGATAAAGAATCACACATAAAGTGGGAGTTGTCACAGTTGCTCTTTGCTGATGACACTGTGCTCCTGGGAGATTCTGAAGAGAAGTTGCAGAGGTTGGTGGATGAATTTGGTAGGGTATGCAAAAGAAGAAAATTAATAGTGAATACAGGAAAGAGTAAGGTTATGAGGATAACAAAAAGATTGGGTGATGAAAGATTGGATATCAGATTGGAGGGAGAGAGTATGGAGGAGGTGAATGTATTCAGATATTTGGGAGTGGACGTGTCAGCGGATGGGTCTATGAAGGATGAGGTGAATCATAGAATTGATGAGGGGAAAAGGGTGAGCAGTGCACTTAGGAGTCTGTGCAGACAAAGAACTTTGTCCTTGGAGGCAAAGAGGGGAATGCATGAGAGTATAATTTTACCAGTGCTCTTATATGGGTGTGAAACATGGGTGATGAATGTTACAGCGAGGAGAAGGCTGGAGGCAGTGGAGATGTCATGTCTGAGGGCAATGTGTGGTGTGAATATAATGCAGAAAATTCGTAGTTTGGAAGTTAGGAGGAGGTGCGGGATTACCAAAACTGTTGTCCAGAGGGCTGAGGAAGGGTTGTTGAGGTGGTTCGGACATGTAGAGAGAATGGAGTGAAACAGAATGACTTCAAGAGTGTATCAGTCTGTAGTGGAAGGAAGGCGGGGTAGGGGTCGGCCTAGGAAAGGTTGGAGGGAGGGGGTAAAGGAGGTTTTGTGTGCGAGGGGCTTGGACTTCCAGCAGGCATGTGTGAGCATGTTTGATAGGAGTGAATGGAGACAAATGGTTTTTAATACTTGACGTGCTGTTGGAGTGTGAGCAAAGTAACATTTATGAAGGGGTTCAGGGAAACCTGCAGGCCGGACTTGAGTCCTGGAGATGGGAAGTACAGTGCCTGCACTCTGAAGGAGGGGTGTTAATGTTACAGTTTAAAAACTGTAGTGTAAAGCACCCTTCTGGCAAGACAGTGATGGAGTGAATGATGGTGAAAGTTTTTCTTTTTTGGGCCACCCTGCCTTGGTGGGAATCGGCCAGTGTGATAATAATAAATAAATAAAATAATAATAATAATAATAATATTAGGTTGGTAGACAGCAACCACCCAGGGAGGTACTACCGTCCTGCCGAGTGAGTGTAAAACGAAGCCTGTGATTGTTTTACATGATGGTAGGATTGCTGATGTCTTTTGTCTGTCTCATAAATATGCAAGATTACAGGCATGTCTTGCTACTTCTACTTACACTTAGGTCACACTACACATACATGTACACATTTATTTATACACACTCATCTGAGTTTTCTTTGATTTTATCTTAATAGTTCTTGGTCTTATTAATTTTCCTTTTATATCCATGGGGAAGTGGAATAAGAATCTTTCCTCCGTAAGCCATGCGTGTTGTAAAAGTCAACTAAAATGCCGGGAACAATGGGCTAGTAACCCCTTTTCCTGTAAAGATTACTAAAAAGAATAAGAAGAAGAAAATTGTCAAAGTGGGAAGTCTGAATGTGCGTGGATGTTGTGCAGATGATAAGAAAGAGATGATTGTGGATGTTATGAATGAGAAGAAGCTGGATGTCCTGGCTTTAAGTGAAACAAAGCTGAAGGGGGTAGGAGAGTTTCAGTGGAGAGGAATAAATGGGATTAGGTCAGGGGTTTCAAATAGAGTTAGAGCTAAAGAAGGAGTAGCAATAATGTTGAAGGATAAGCTATGGCAGGAAAAGAGGGACTATAAATGTATTAATTCAAGGATTATGTGGAGTAAAATAAAGATTGGATGTGAAAAGTGGGTTATAATAAGCGTGTATGCACCTGGAGAAGAGAGAAGTGTAGAGGAGAGAGAGAGATTTTGGGAAATGTTGAGTGAATGCGTGGGGAGTTTTGAATCAAGTGTGAGAGTAATGGTGGTTGGGGATTTTAATGCTAAAGTGGGTAAAAATGTTATGGAGGGAGTAGTAGGTAAATTTGGGGTGCCAGGGGTAAATGTAAATGGGGAGCCTTTAATTGAGCTATGTGTAGAAAGAAATTTGGTAATAAGTAATACATATTTTATGAAAAAGAGGATAAATAAATATACAAGGTATGATGTAGCACGTAATGAAAGTAGTTTATTAGATTATGTATTGGTGGATAAAAGGTTGATGGGTAGGCTCCAGGATGTACATGTTTATAGAGGGGCAACTGATATATCGGATCATTATTTAGTTGTAGCTACAGTTAGAGTAAGAGGTAGATGGGAAAAGAGGAAGGTGGCAACAACAAGTAAGAGGGAGGTGAAAGTGTATAAACTAAGGGAGGAGGAAGTTCGGGTGAGATATAAGCGACTATTGGCAGAAAGGTGGGCTAGTGCAAAGATGAGTAGTGGGGGGGTTGAAGAGGGTTGGAATAGTTTTAAAAATGCAGTATTAGAATGTGGGGCAGAAGTTTGTGGTTATAGGAGGGTGGGGGCAGGAGGAAAGAGGAGTGATTGGTGGAATGATGAAGTAAAGGGTGTGATAAAAGAGAAAAAGGTAGCTTATGAGAGGTTTTTACAAAGCAGAAGTGGTATAAGAAGAGCAGAGTATATGGAGAGTAAAAGAAAGGTAAAGAGAGTGGTGAGAGAGTGCAAAAGGAGAGCAGATGATAGAGTGGGAGAGGCACTGTCAAGAAATTTTAATGAAAATAAGAAAAAATTTTGGAGTGAGTTAAACAAGTTAAGAAAGCCTAGGGAAAATATGGATTTGTCAGTTAAAAACAGAGTAGGGGAGTTAGTAGATGGGGAGATGGAGGTATTGGGTAGATGGCGAGAATATTTTGAGGAACTTTTAAATGTTAAGGAAGAAACAGAGGCAGTAATTTCATGCACTGGTCAGGGAGGTATACCATCTTTTAGGAGTGAAGAAGAGCAGAATGTAAGTGTGGAGGAGGTACGTGAGGCATTACGTAAAATGAAAGGGGGTTAAAGCAGCTGGAACTGATGGGATCATGACAGAAATGTTAAAAGCAGGGGGGGATATAGTGTTGGAGTGGTTGGCACTTTTGTTTAATAAATGTATGAAAGAGGGGAAGGTACCTAGGGATTGGCAGAGAGCATGTATAGTCCCTTTATATAAAGGGAAAGGGGACAAAAGAGACTGTAAAAATTATAGAGGAATAAGCTTACTGAGTATACCAGGAAAAGTGTACGGTAGGGTTATAATTGAAAGAATTAGAGGTAAGACAGAATGTAGGATTGCGGATGAGCAAGGAGGTTTTAGAGTGGGTAGGGGATGTGTAGATCAGGTGTTTACATTGAAGCATATATGTGAACAGTATTTAGATAAAGATAGGGAAGTTTTTATTGCATTTATGGATTTAGAAAAGGCATATGATAGAGTGGATAGAGGAGCAATGTGGCAGATGTTGCAAGTATATGGAATAGGTGGTAAGTTATTAAATGCTGTAAAGAGTTTTTATGAGGATAGTGAGGCTCAGGTTAGGGTGTGTAGAAGAGAGGGAGACTACTTCCCAGTAAAAGTAGGTCTTAGACAGGGATGTGTAATGTCACCATGGTTGTTTAATATATTTATAGATGGGGTTGTAAAGGAAGTAAATGCTAGGGTGTTTGGGAGAGGGGTGGGATTAAATTATGGGGAATCAAATTCAAAATGGGAATTGACACAGTTACTTTTTGCTGATGATACTGTGCTTATGGGAGATTCTAAAGAAAAATTGCAAAGGTTAGTGGATGAGTTTGGGAATGTGTGTAAAGGTAGAAAGTTGAAAGTGAACATAGAAAAGAGTAAGGTGATGAGGGTGTCAAATGATTTAGATAAAGAAAAATTGGATATCAAATTGGGGAGGAGGAGTATGGAAGAAGTGAATGTTTTCAGATACTTGGGAGTTGACGTGTCGGCGGATGGATTTATGAAGGATGAGGTTAATCATAGAATTGATGAGGGAAAAAAGGTGAGTGGTGCGTTGAGGTATATGTGGAGCCAAAAAACGTTATCTATGGAGGCAAAGAAGGGAATGTATGAAAGTATAGTAGTACCAACACTCTTATATGGGTGTGAAGCTTGGGTGGTAAATGCAGCAGCGAGGAGACGGTTGGAGGCAGCGGAGATGTCCTGTTTAAGGGCAATGTGTGGTGTAAATATTATGCAGAAAATTCGGAGTGTGGAAATTAGGAGAAGGTGTGGAGTTAATAAAAGTATTAGTCAGAGGGCAGAAGAGGGGTTGTTGAGGTGGTTTGGTCATTTAGAGAGAATGGATCACAGTAGAATGACATGGAAAGCATATAAATCTATAGGGGAAGGAAGGCGGGGTAGGGGTCGTCCTCGAAAGGGTTGGAGAGAGGGGGTAAAGGAGGTTTTGTGGGTAAGGGGCTTGGACTTCCAGCAAGCGTGCGTGAGCGTGTTAGATAGGAGTGAATGGAGACGAATGGTACTTGGGACCTGACGATCTGTTGGAGTGTGAGCAGGGTAATATTTAGTGAAGGGATTCAGGGAAACCGGTTATTTTCATATAGTCGGACTTGAGTCCTGGAAATGGGAAGTACAATGCCTGCACTTTAAAGGAGGGGTTTGGGATATTGGCAGTTTGGAGGGATATGTTGTGTATCTTTATATGTGTATGCTTCTAGACTGTTGTATTCTGAGCACCTCTGCAAAAACAGTGATAATGTGCGAGTGTGGTGAAAGTGTTGAATGATGATGAAAGTATTTTCTTTTTGGGGATTTTCTTTCTTTTTTGGGTCACCCTGCCTCGGTGGGAGACGGCCGACTTGTTGAAAAAAAAAAAAAAAAAAAAAAAAAATAATAACAACAACAATACCTTCATTAACTACAAGTACATGTGCATGGTATACAGCCATAGTTGACATCAGTGTCATACTACTGTATAGAAAGCTGCTTGTTATGCAGAGCATTTCGGATGAATTAGATTAGTTTTGTCCCAGGATACAACCCACACCAGTTGACTAACTCCCAGGTACCCATTTTACTGATGGGTGAATAAAGACAAACAGTGTAAAGAAACATGCCCAATGTTTCTACCCTCACTGGGAATCAAACCAAGACCCTCGCTGTATGAAGCAAGAGCTTTAGCCACCAGGCCACTGGGCACGGGGTACCGTAAGGAAGTATGTCGCTCTGGGAGATTCTAAAGAAAAATTGCAAAGGTTAGTGGATGAATTTGGGAGTGTGTGTAAAGGTAGAAAGTTGAAAGTGAACATAGAAAAGAGTAAGGTGATGAGGGTATTAAATGATTTAGATAAAGAAAACTTGGATATCAAATTGGGGAGGAGGAGTATGGAAGAAGTGAATGTTTTCAGATATTTGGGAGTTGACGTGTCAGTGGATGGATTTATGAAGGATGAGGTTAATCATAGAATTGATGAAGGAAAAAAGGTGAGTGGTGCATTGAGGTATATGTGGAGGCAAAAAATATCTATGGAGGCAAAGAAGGGAATGTATGAAAGTATAGTAGTACCAACACTAATATGGGTGTGAAGTTTGGGTTGTAAATGCTGCAGCAAGGAGGCAGTTGGAGGCAGTGGAGATGTCCTGTCTAAGGGCAATGTGTGCTGTAAATATTATGCAGAAAATTCGGAATGTGGAAATTAGGAGAAGGTGTGGAGTTAATAAAAGTTTTAGTCAGAGGGCTGAAGAGGGTTTGTTGAGGTGGTTTGGTCATTTAGAGAGAATGGATCAAAGTAGAATAACATGGAGAGCGTATAAATCTGTAGGGGAAGGAAGGCGGGGTAGGGGTCGCCGTCGAAAAGGTTGGAGGGAGGGGGTAAAGGAGGTGTTGTGAGCGAGGGGTTTGGACTTCCAGCAAGCATGCGTGAGCGTGTTAGATAGGAGTGAATGGAGACGAATGGTATTTGGGACCTGACGAGCTGTTGGAGTGTGAGCAGGGTAATATTTAGTGAAGGGATTCAGGGAAACCGTTTTTTTTATATAACCAGACTTGAGTCCTGGAAATGGGAAGTACAATGCCTGCACTCTAAAGGAGGGGTTTGGGATATTGGCAGTTTGGAGGGATATATTGTGTATTTTTATATGTATATAAGGTAGTAGATTGGTTGACAGCAACCACCCAGGGAGGTATTACTGTCCTACCAAGTGAGTGTAAAACGAAAGCCTGTAATTGTTTTACATGATGGTAGGATTGCTGGTGTCTTTTGTCTGTCTCATAAATATGCAAGATTACAGATATGTCTTGCTACTTCTACTTACACTTAGGTCACACTACACATACATGTACACGTTTATTTATACACACTCATCTGAGTTTTCTTTGATTTTATCTTAATAGTTCTTGGTCTTATTACTTTTCCTTTTATACCCATGGGGAAGTGGAATAAGAGTCTTTCCTCCGTAAGCCATGCGTGTTGTAAAAGTCAACTAAAATGCCGGGAACAATGGGCTAGTAACCCCTTTTCCTGTAAAGATTACTGAAAAGAATAAGAAGAAAATTGTCAAAGTGGGAAGTCTGAATGTGCGTGGATGTTGTGCAAATGATAAGAAAGAGATGATTGTGGATGTTATGAATGAGAAGAAGCTGGATGTCCTGGCTTTAAGTGAAAAAAAGCTGAAGGGGGTGGGAGAGTTTCAATGGAGAGGAATAAATGGGATTAGGTCAGGGGTTTCAAATAGAGTTCGAGCTAAAGAAGGAGTAGCAATAATGTTGAAGGATAAGCTATGACAGGAAAAGAGGGACTATAAATGTATTAACCCTTTGAGGGTTTTGGTCGTACTAGTACGTCTTACGCGTAGGGGTTTTTGACGTACTAGTATGCATAAATTCTAGTGTCCTTATTTTAGTTATTTCAAATAATTATTAGCTTATATAAATTGAACCTAATTATTATTTTTATGAAATAGCCCTCAGTTAATGTATATGGAATTCACAGAGATATTCCTTACACTATTTTTTGTAATTTTATTTTTTTCAGAATGATTCACAGAAACATGCTCATCAATGTAAAACCTGTGGTAAAAGCTTCAAGAAACCGTCGGATTTAGTACGACACATTAGAACCCACACAGGAGAGCGGCCATTTTCATGTGTTCAGTGTGGGAAGTCATTTGCTGTTAAGTCTACATTGGATGTGCATATGAAAACTCATTCTGGAAAAAAGGATTTCATGTGCCATGTATGCAATACTATGTTTGCAACTAAAGGGAGTCTAAGTATACATATGAGACTTCATACTGGGGATAAACCGTTTAAATGTAACCAGTGTGGGATGAAGTTTAGAACCTCTGGTCATCGAAAGGCTCATGTTGTTAAACACTGTACGTCTCAGGCTATGTCAGGAAAAACTACAAGATTTACCACGACTAAAGAGGAACCATTAGAAAGTGGAAACAATGCAGATGAAGCTGTGATGGAAATGCCAAACGAGGAAAGCCTTAATTCTGTTGTAATGATGACTGAAGGGACTGTATTGCAGCTACCAGGGCTTAATCTGGGAACTATTGATCCTTCAGCTTTACTCAACATTCAACCTATGACACTGGATGAAAGTGTGTTAAATCAGTTACAAGCTTCTGGTGTTACCATGATGGGTGCTGGTGAGGGAACTGTTGATGAGGATGCTGAGGATTCTATTTCTGTGAATCCCAATGTGGTAATGACTCAACCCAGAAATGTTCGTACACCTAATGCAGAAACTGTGGAGGATTCTGATTTTGAAATTAGTATCTTTGATAGTGATGTAAGGGTTATTACAACACATTCACTAAATATGTTAGGGCAACATTTAGATAGAGATCCTGAAGCCACTCCTGATACTTCTTCCTTCATCCCATCAGAGCTCCATCTCGCAGATCTTGCAATCCCAGGACAAAACAACACTATACAGTGTGCTTTGTGCTCAAAATCATTTGTCAAATTAAGTGATTGCCAGGAGCACTTTATTTATCATAATATTTTTATAAGAGTAGGAGAGGAAGGTGAAAATGTTGATAATGAAATACATTACTCTGTTATTCCTGCACCTGCACTTGGAGAAGTGCCTGATGAAAATTCATTTCAAAGTGCGCATAATGGGAAAAATCCATCAGGAATAAGCATTGGAGAAATACCTGTTTGTAAATTAGAAGAACAAGATCAGTCCAGTCTCAGTTATAAATGTGCCATACCTGAATGTGGTAAAACTTTTAAGAATGAGGGTAGTCTTGAACAGCATACAATTAGTACTCATGTAAAACATCATGTATGTGCCAAGTGTGGTGGGGAAGACTTTCAGTCAGCAGCAGCTCTTCAGAAGCACATCAAAATGCATCACTCTGATGGAAAAGGAATCAGATGTGTGTTTTGTGTAGAAGAATACAGTGTACGTGCTACTTTATACCATCACATTATTCATGAGCATTTGCAACTTGCTTTAGAGAATCCCATAGCTATTGAGAAAGTGGGGCTCAAAATTAATGTAACATCAGAGTCTCAGAGAGAGGGGACGGTTGCAGGGGCCCAGGGTACAATGGAGGAGCTGGATGCTTTGGAGTTCTTTCCGTCTGTAAATAATGATGCTCCTCTTGAGTAACAGTAAACATACATTTAAGATTATGTTGGTTTTGCTTTAATTAGTTTTCTCCTTGAAAGCATATCCCCAATGCCTTGTTTTAGATCTAATTGCTAAAACCATTGACATTAATGCACTTAAAATTGATATAAAAATAACATCTTGAAATATTAAATTTATTTAATGTTATTTTTTTGTACAGTGCATGAAATTTAATATTGATGAACATTTACAAAATTTCAGATAATTAGTAAAATAGTTTGTGTTAAATGTTTAACATTGTATGTCATGTCATATATAGTATTTTTTAATGTCTTCCCTTATAAGTTTTTTAAACAGCAATTTGGCCTCATTCTAATTATGAATTAAGTACAAACTGAAATTGTAAATACTGTATTACCTAAGGATGAGTAATGTAACCAAAATAGGAACTAGAGTACATGTATTGGAAAATTTTTGTGAATTTTATATTACTGGAACAACATTTTCTAGGGCTGGGATGATCTGTTATTGCCTTCAGAATTTTGAAGACTCAGTTGTGAGAGGGTTCAATTTTTTATTATTATAATATTGTATAGTAAATTTATATTTGTATATATGATAATCCTGCAATTAGACATAATTTACTGCTATTTATTTCCACTTCTTAGTATATTCATTACTCTGGTATAAACCTTGGTAATAAATACCGACAAATTGGTGTAGAAAGACACGTAAGCAAACACTATGACATATTTATTACAAAACGTTTCGGTCCTGGGACCTTGATCAAGGTCCCAGGACCAAAACGTTTTCTAATAAATATGTCATAGTGTTTGCTTACGTCTTTCTAACCATTCATTACTCTGCATTAAACCAGTTTTAGAAGCATGATAATCATTGTTAAAAGATATATTATTTTGAATAAGATCTGGAAGTCTTTATCTCTAGCTAACATACCCTTTACTGTAGGTTCATGTGTGAACTTGAAATATTGTCATTCAAGTTTCACCATAGCCAGCATGTCTGACATGTGATGATGTATGCTACAATATCCAGAATACACCACTTAACTGGTAGGTCAAAAGTCTGACCATTTATTAATGTGTATTAATATGTAAAGCCAGCAGCTTTATGACCTGACACACAAGAAGTACAACCATTTGTTGACATGCCTTAAGTACAACTTGTATGTAGTGTGTATGCCAAAAGCATAACATTTAGTAACTTGCCTTCAGTACAATTTACTATATTAGCAGACTTTATTTGGTCATTAATTCATAATAATATGAATTATGTCACACTTTTAGTTATTTAAATCTTTAAGTTCAGTGTTATCACTATGCTCAAATTCTATTTATTTTTATATTTATGATGGTAATGTTTAATTTTGAAGAAAACTAAATGACTCGGCATTCACGAGTACATCTAGTCAAGTTCATTTTTGCATGACTAGGTTAAAGTCATCATATGTAAGTTTACAGATATTATTCACAAGAAATTTGCTTCTCCCATTTTGGCTAAAAACTGTATCTGAGCCCCATAGACCAGAAATTTTGACATAAAAGCTTGTTTAAACTTGAGTGTACTGTAACTGTTTTTGTTTTTGCTTAAATTAATGTTTTATATCAAAGGTTTGAGAATATCTACAAAATTGCTTATTGTGAAGTCTAGTATATTCCAAGTGCTGAGAAATTTGCACCTCAGTGCTGCAACTACATAAACTTCACATACATATTGCAAAGCAGAGGCGAATACTCATATGTATAAGTGATATTTGGCCTTACCCTTAGTCAAACTTGATTCTACATATAGAGGGACTATTGTTCATATGCATTATATTCATTAAGAAAATGTGATTAGTTCCCAAGATGCACATCAATAATTTACAATTCTAACCTCTTGATGAAACAGCGTGAGAATAGAGAAACAGCAGTAGGCCTATCAAGTATGCAGTATGCTTGTCAAGTATTTGTCTACCTTGTTTTTAAGCTACATGAACCTTCCTTTCTATTCTAACATTTAACCAGGCAATACCAAATACCAATATGCAAGTAGTAGACAGTTGCTTCACTGCTGTAGTATATGCAGGCCAGATTCTCATGTATTTCATCACCTCCCAGTCAAGTTTTATTATAATACATTGTAGTATCTGGTTGCTTAAAATCATAGGATGAAATGAAATATCTATGAATCTGGCTTGAATGTACTCTGGCAGAGTTGAATCAGTTAAAATGTATTCTCCTCTCTTGTAGTGTGATGGCTCAAAGAACAATACATGCCTGGTGTGGTGCTGGGCTGGGGTTTACAGCCCAACTTGACAAATATTTAGGGTTGTCAAACTTTTATGTGCAGTTTGGGAACCAGTTGTGTTTGCTTAATTGTGTAGTACACCTGGTTGCCTAAAAACCTGGAAAGTGACGAAATAACATTGAATGTGAGATGAATGCACTCTTGCAAGGGGTTCAATGAATCTGAATATACACTTCACTGCTTTTGTAGTGTAGTAGCTCATAGGAACGTTACTCACCTGGTGTGATGCCAAAATGGGGTTCATGTCCCTGCCAGGGCATTGGGTTGTTATGCAATTATATTCATACATATACAGTCTATCTTTTTTTAATGTTTTTTCTTAATTCCTCTGGGACCAGTTTGTCCTTCAGTAGAATGGTTTATGGGTAATTTTCCTGAAACTTTTCAGCCAACTTCAAGTTTTTAATATTCTTAAAGAACACTTTCATACAACAGCAAAAAAATACATGTTGGTGTAACCATTAAGTGAAGCAAGGTCTTGTTTGCATTCTTAAGCAAGAATGTGTGAATGGTTTAGCATTATTTCAAGTGTTTACATTGAAGCACATAAGTAAGCATTACTTAAAGGGAAAGAGCTGTTTGTTGCATTTAATGATTTACAGAAGATATATGACAGGGATTATAGGGGAGCCAAGTGCCAGATATTGCAAATGTATGGAATAGGAGGTAGGTAACTGAAGAGTATTTATGCAGTGTGAGGCTTAGGTTAGGGTATATAAAAAGGAGGGGGACTATTTCCCATAGAAATTAGGTCCTAGACAGGAGGGAGGGAGGGTTAGGGTTTGTCCCATGCAGTTTTGAGGGCATAGACCATTATTCCTCCCAGCTTGGTCTAAGGAATTGGACCTGTGCTCCAGTTCCGTGAATAGAGTTTGAATGACTTCCATTTCCCCAGGCACTGTATAACCTCTGTGGGTTTAACACTCCCACCATGAATGTAATAATACCACTATCCCTCACTTCATACCTTTGCACATTCCTACTTTACACATCCTGTAGAGCTGTATGACCCTTAGAGGTTTAGTCCTTAGTTTAATTATATTAATTGCTCTCTTAGTTACGATTATAATTATATTATTATTGCTCATTCATCCTGGTGTTGTACATCATGCAAGGCAAGAGATGGTTTTGAGGGAATAATAGCAGAGGTGCCTGTAATTCAGGGTGGGTATGTAGTTTTTTTTTTTTTTGTTATGGGTGCTGTCATCTGGTATTTGCTATTGATCTTGCAGGTCAGTCAAGATGCTGATAACTGTTTGGGTTTATTGGTGTATTTACAGAGACTGGTAGTGAGGTGACCAGAGGTGACAGCACAGCCAAGCCTGGGATTATTATTCCCTGGCTTGGAGAAACTTGAACCATTACAATGTAGGGTGTTCATTGTACAGTAGTTGAATGCCCTCTAATAAAGTGCAGTGTGAAATTCCTGAGTAAACTACAAAGACATCAGTGCACTACTGCTACAGTCATTAAAGACCCTAACTTTCATTGTTCTTGAAGAAACTTGGCTAAAACGTAATAGATATATGTTTTTTTTTTTTTTTCAACAAACCGGCCATATCCCACCAAGGCAGGGTGGCCCAAAAAGAAAAACGAAAGTTTCTCTTTTTAAATTTAGTAATTTATACAGGAGAAGGGGTTACTAGCGGCTTGCTCCAATAGAGATATACGTAGTATATAACTTACCTAGGTACTATACAGTCATTTGTAATGGCAGACCTGATCAGATGGGAGAAGGAAGTTCGGTATACCACACCATTCACCGAGTCTCTCAAGGAACATGCTTTGATACCAGTGACAGGAGACTACACTCTCCTGCCTTTGCACCGAACACACATCATACTCATGGTATCTCATGGGGAAACACCCAGCACTGCTCTCTGAGAAGTGTAAGTGTTACATTCCATTGTCAGTTAATCTCTTAATAAACTGTCTTGTCTATCAGTAGGCATGCAGAATTTATTTCCAACATCACCACCATCTTAATACATGTACACTTACTTTACCTGGCCTCCTTGCTGACAGCCTCCACCTTTGATACTGACTTCCTCTTTGACTTTTTATCAGCATCTGCCTTATTATACCAACTTTTGATTATATTTTCCCTTCAGCACTCCCCACTACCCTTGCTAACTCTACTTCTTACATACTCCTAACCCTCGCTTGTCTCTGATCTTTGCATATTTCATCTTTAACACATGCCACTCTGCAGCACTATATGACCCTTGTGGGTTTAGCATTTCATTTTTTTTTTCTTGTAATAATTTGATGCCAGTGATTGGTTCTTGATCCAAGGAATTGGTTCTCCCATTCCTTGGATTGAACCTTCCATATCCTCAGACACTAGATGACTCCTATGGGTTCAGCACTTCCCCTGATCAATATAATAATTTACTACTATAATTGTGGGAAGTACAGTGCCTGCACTCTGAAGGAGGGGTGTTAATGTTGCAGTTTAAAAACTGTAGTGTAAAGCACCCTTCTGGCAAGACAGTGATGGAGTGAATGATGGTGAAAGTTTTTCTTTTTTGGGCCACCCTGCCTTGGTGGGAATCGGCCAGTGTGATAATAATAATAAAAAAAATAATTGTGGTACACAAAATATAGCACTGAGAAAAGTTGATGACTTATAAACAGTTTCACGAGTATGAATGTTGTATGACACAAGAGGGTTTAGCGCTTGTTTCTGAATGTCAATAATATGACAGAAAATCCATTGTGATCAGAGTATTACAGGAAACACTTGATGGATTTCCTCGAATGTCCTTACTTTATCTTACCTCCTTGCTGACAGACCCACCTTTGACCCAGACTTCCTTGTTGACTTTTTGACAGCAATTGATTTACTAAACAAACTGAAGATACTTCCATTAGTACTCCTCACAGCCCTTTATAACTCTCCCTATGTTGTTCTTTCCACTCTTGCTACTCTGTGATCCTGCACTATCCCCTGACCCGCTTTGCTGTATGATCCTTGTAGGTTTAGCGCTTCTTTCCTCTTCAAGGGGGGCTCCTTGGCGTGGTGAAGAGGCTCTTGGTCTGAGGAATTAGACCTGTCGGTCTCCTTCCTCAGACCGAACCTAATTACCCCCAAATCCCCCCTTCCCTATCCCATCCTCCCCTTTTTCTTCCTCCTCCTCCTCCCCACCCCTCCCTTTTGCCCTTCCTCTTTTTGGCCTTTGGGATTTTTCCCAAAGGCGCGCTAGTTCCTAGGTAGGGGAAAGGGTACCGGGGTCCATCCCATTCCGTCGAGGTTCTTGGCGGTGGCGTAGTTTGCCGTGGAATCTGGATCGCCTGGGGATGTCCCAATCCCTCTCCGGTATCCCGGAGGGTGTCTTTCGGGCAACGGGCGTATCTCTGGAAGCCACCTTTCGGATTCCGGGGGTGGTGGCCGAAGGGGGTATGCTTTGTGGCAGATATCCGGCCGCCCTCTCTTTTGTCCACCGAGGTAGCTCAGCAGATGTGAGGTTGCTATGCCGGATTGCTGGTTTACTGGCATGAAGGGTAGGGTATGGCACGGGTTCCATGCTGTATCTGCGCTACTTGCGGTGCTGAGGTCCTCTTGGGCACAGAGGGAGATTTCTGGCCCTTTCATTTCTCCTAGGAACTATCCCTCCCTGGTCCCCCCTTTTTTCTTTTTTTTTTCTTTTTTTTTCTTGAAACAAAAAGAAAGAAATAACCTAACCATGGAGTTCCCAATCCATGACCCCGCTACCCCTGGGCCCCTTATTGTTACCGCACCCCATTCTGACCTCGCCTCGTCTTTTGGCCACTCTTCAGACACTCCTAAGGCCCCTGTACCTCTTGCTGGTGCTGTTTCGTCACCTGCTTCAGGTGCCAGGGGTTCAACTGACTCCTTCGATTTGTCTGACCTCCGCTCTCCTTTGACTATGCTTCCGGCCTCTCCTTCTACAGTGTGGCAATTTTTGAATCGCCAGCCCATCCCACGTCGGACCAACTCTGGTCCCACTTCTAAACGCCAACGACAATCTCCTGATGATGTTACTTCGTTACCTTCCCATTCTACTTGGAAAAGACCGACACGTCATGCACTCCCTCTCCACACTCAGTTTTGGACCACACAATGGACTAAATTCTTTACTTTAAGACTGACTTCTCCTACTGCCTATCTTTCCGACCATAGTATTGGCAAAGCGCTCCTACGCCATGTTGGTAGAGATATTTCCTTTCATGCTCTTCAGAGTGGTACGCGCATCATCACAGTCCAGAATGCTACCCAAGCTCATGATCTTTCTCTTCTTTCACATATTGATACTATTCCTATCACTATCGAAAAACATCATTCCCTCAATTCTTGTAGTGGTACTGTCATTCTGCCCCATACCATAGTCCAACAGAATTTCCAGACATGTGGCAATGACATTCTCGAACAGCTGGAACTCCAAGATCTCCCAATTCTCAAGGTAGACACTTATGTTCTTCCTGCCCGTGGGCGGAGACGATACCCTTGCAATGTGGCTCGTTTAACATTTTAGAGCCGTGAACTCCCATCCTCTGTTTATGTAGCAGGACATCGGTTACAAGTTCGAAAGGTGATCCCTACACCGCAACAGTGTAGAAATTGCTGGCAATTTGGCCACCAAGCAAAATATTGCAGATCTATAGCCAAATGCCCAGTCTGTGGTGCCGATGACCATTCTAATACGTCTTGCAGTCAACCTCTCTCTTGCCTTAATTGTCATGAGGCTCACCCTTCGTACTCTCGCCGTTGCCAGGTCTACTTAAATGAGCGGGAAATTCATTGCCTCAAAGAGGCAGAAGGTCTCCCTTATGCTATGGCGGTTTCTCATCTCTGCCTCCAAGGGAGACTACCCCGTGTTTCTTATTCTCGTGTTTCAAAACGTCCCCCAACTTCTAGGATCCCATCTTCTGCAGCCTCCTCTGCGGTTGCCAGTCCCATAGTCACTCCTGTATCTAATTCTCTTGCTGTCCTGGGCTCAGACGTCCCTACTTCAACACCTCAGTCTGTTCTCACTTCTTTGTGTTCTCCCTCACAAACCCTGGTATCGACAAGGCCTTGTACAACACCTCCTCCCAATCGTCCCTCTACTGTTAGGTAAGACACATATGCAACAGTTAGACAACTTTATTCCGAAACGTTTCGCCTACACAGTAGGCTTCTTCAGTCGAATACAGAAAGTAGGCAGGAACAGTAGAGATGTGAAGACGATGTAATCAGTCCATCACCCTTGTAGTCGTAGAATTTGAGGTTGTCAGTCCCTCGGCCTGGAGAAGTTCAGTTCCATAGTCAGGAACTATCTGACTATGGAACTGACTATGGAAC